TTTTTGTTTTGAAACTGAAAGGGTAAAAACACTTCTTTTGGGTTAAAGGTGAGGGTGAGACTATGCACACACACACACACACACAAATATACATACATATTTATACACACATATATGTATAAAATTGATAAAATGGTAACTTTACTAGAGAAGGAAAAGACATACTTTACTTTTAATGTAAGTCAATGGAACCAGACTTTTTTGTCATTTATGTCATTTTTGTCCATTTTTTTGGTCCATTCATCATGAAATTTAAACACAATACAGGGAGCAACAGGCATTTTCAAATTATGTCAGAAAAATATACAAAGTTTTCTCCCAACAATAGCGATATATATATGTATATATATATATATATAATATATATATATATGTAACGCTGTTGTCAGAACAAAATTGCCAAAATGATAACTTTACAGGAGAAGGAAAAAACCTACTTTGCTTTTAATGTAAGTCAATGGAACCAATGTACACATGATACCATGATACATTTACAGCATTGTATTATTAAATACAGGTATTTACACACATATGCATATACATGCACATATGTCACTGCTGTCAAAAGAAAACCTCGTATCTCCAGAATGGTAACTTTACAGGAGAACTTTACTTTTAATGTAAGTCAATGTAATCAGACTTTATTTTGGGTCATTTTTATTAGTCCATTCATCATGAAATTTACACACAATGTAAAGGGTAAGAAGTCCTTTCAAATTATGTCAAAAACTGAAAAACGTCAAAAATGGAGATACAAGGTTTTCTTCTGACAACAGCGATATATAAGAAAAACATGGAAAAAAATGTCATAATATATGGACCAATAGAAACAATACATTAAGTTGCATTAAACATTGAGAACTTTTTTGCCCTCTCCTGTAAAGTTACATTTTGGATATAAAATACATATTATAATTACATATTTGTACTTATGTAAATATAAAGCATCGGTGTAACACGTAAGGGGTGTAAGTATGACCTCCTGTCCTGATAGTGTATTAAAAATTGATCAGTGTGTCTCTTTTCTTATTCACCCTCTGCTGCCCTTTTTCTCTCTGACCTGTTTCCCTAATAAAGCTGCATTCTCTGCATTCTGACACGACGTCCTCACAGCTGGAGCACAGATCCACACCCTGAAGCCTCGCGCCTGTCAAAACATCTCCGACCATCCTCTTAGTTATATTAGCGGAGTTCCTGTCAGGAATCTCTTTTCCGCTCACAACTCACACAGTGGTAGAGACAGCTGATATATAGATTAGTCAATAAAACTGGACGTTATTATCAAGACTTATTCAGTATCTGGTATGAATTATTCAGTTTCTACTGTGAATTATTCAGTATCCACTATGAATTGTTCAGCATCTACTATGAATTATTCAGCAGCTACTATGAATTGTTCAGCACCTGCTATGCATAATTCAGTATCTACTATGCATAATTCAGTATCTACCATGAATTATTCAGCATCTACTATGAATTATTCAGCATCTACTACGAATTATTCAGTAGCTACTGTGAATTATGCAGTATTTACTGTGGATTATTCAGTATCTACTGTGAATAATTCATTATCTACTATGAATTATTCAGTATCTTCTATGAATAATTCATAAAGTTATTCATAAAGTTAATGTGTAGGTTGTGTAGAGTGAGAAACTGCAGTGTGGAGTCACATAAAGACCTTTAGAGTCTAACGAGTTTAACTTTGTCCACTGAGGAAAGTCTTTTTTTCAGCCACAGCAGCAGATTGTGTAAGAATCCAGACGGGGAGAGATTAGATAAGCCTTTAAAACATTACGTACTCTGTTATCATGGTTTTGATCGTTTCCGTCATAAGAAAACATTTTTATTTTTGTTCACTTTACTGTCATTTAAAGACACCAGTTGCCCTCTGCACTATGTGAACATTTCATGATGGCCAAAAGTGGCCAGATGCTGTTATGATTGTGGCTCTAATGTATCGATTTGTGTGCATTTAGTTCCAGATGGCGCACCGGTGAACTTGACCGCAGTGCTGAACGGGACGGAGGTGCTGATTAGGTGGGCCGAACCTGCGGGCAGGATTAATGGAGAACTGCAGGGCTACAGGATCGAGTACAGCACACCTAATATGGAGCAGGTAAACATGCTCACAGGCAGAAACGTGAGGCTCCTCAATTCTCATCTGAACCTGATTTCCTAAACTTAGTCACTCTGAATTATTCATCGCTGCTCATCCCGGTGACTGAGCTTCCTGTAAGTTCAGCAGGAAATTCGTCTGAATTTAATCTGCAGTGTTTATGGTGTTGTGAGACGTTCAGAATCTATTTCAGACTCGGGACCACCACATTCATCACTCCTGAGGTCTTTCAATGGAGTACTCCAGCAGAAGTTTCCTGTAGAACAGAGGTTCTCAAACCTTTTCACACCAGAACCCAAATATAGAGGACAAATGTGGTTTTTCGAGGGATCTTTAGTAAAGACAGTGCCTCTATATAGAACCATGAACACTCAAAGAGCCATTTGCATGCTTAAAGCGTTCTTTGCATGGTGAAATGTTCTTCAGATTGATGGAGCATGTGTTGTATATGGTTTTATATAGAACCTTTTTAAAAAGGGTCCTATATAGAGACAATATGCGTTCTGCTGTTGTACACAAGCTTGACATTGTAACAATTGAAGAACGCTTTTTGTTGCTATGTAGAAACCTTTATCTGCCAGTCTGAAGAACCATTTCACCAGGCAAAGAACCATGTAATCATGCAAAGGGTTCTTTGAGTATTTATGGTTCTAAATAGAACCATTATCTTTATGAAAGAGCCCTTAAAGAACCGTCTTTTTTTAAGAGCGTAGCAGTGAAAATGTGCCGTTAACTGTAATAAAAACTTTGAACTGTAAACTGTAAAAAATAAAAATGACAGTTTTAAAAAACACAAAAATTGAATCAAAACTATGACGTCCACAGCAAATCTAACTTAATAAATTACTGAGAAATTAGCAAAAGCTTTAGTTTCAGTTTTTTCAGTGTGTGAATGAGAGTTTAGAAGTGTTTGATTTAAAAGGAAAGCTGGAGTCGAGCCGAGTTCAGTCTACTGTTAATTTTATTCTGCTCTTATCAAAGACCCGCTATCACAGCGTTTATCATAATACTAAAAACTAAAACTTAAACGAAAAAAAATAAACTTAAACTATTACATTTCAGAAAATGAAAACACTAAAACTACTAACGCACCCTAAAAACAAACTGAAACTAAACTGCAGTCAGAAACCAAAATGAAAAATGAAATCAAACTAAAAACTAATGAAAATGTAACAAGTATAATAACCCTGATGTGTATCGATATCAGCATTTTTACACTCATGTTTTACACTTTACACTAATTTAAAATCCTATTTTCTTCATAGACATCAGCCCTAAGCATGGCTACATTGTCGGTATGACAAACACATGTGACGACAGTCTGACCATACAAACTGCTGTTGACCTGCAGTGTGAATGCTCAGTGTAAAAATTTCTGTTTGAACCGACAGATAGAGGCCCTTGTCTTGTTACTTCACTCTCGCAGGTTGTGCTGGACGTTGGAATGGACATTGAGGTGTTTGTCAATCTGTCCAATGCTTCATCAAACATCTCCTTCAGGGTGTGTGCTTACACAGGAGCAGGACATGGACCCTGGACCCCCGTCCAAACGCTCTCTCTAGTCCCCTGCAGGTACGAGACAAGAGCAAAGAGAATGATGGAATGAATGTAGCCAGTGAAGCTAATATGAATAATTCCGTGTGTAATATTAATTATTCAGTATCTACTATAAATTATTCAGTATCTATTATGAATTATTCAGTATCTACTATAAATTATTCAGTATCTATTGTGAATTATTCAGTATCTACTATGAATTATTCAGAACCTATTGTGAATTATTCAGTATCTATTGTGAATTATTCAGTAACTACTGTGAATTATTCAGTATCTACTATAAATTATTCAGTATCTATTGTGAATTATTCAGTATCTACTATGAATTATTCAGTAACTACTATGAATTATTTAGTATCTTATGTGAATTATTCAGTATCTACTATAAATTATTCAGTATCTATTGTGAATTCTACAGTGTCTACTATGAATTATTCAGTATCTACTATGAATTATTCAGTAACTTCTATAACGTATTCAGTATCTACTATGAATTATTCAGTATCTACTATGAATTATTTAGTAGCTACTATGAATTATTTATTCCCTAATATGAATTATTCAGTATTTACTATGAATTATTCCATAATTACTATGGATTATCCAGTATGTACTATGCACTGTGTCTGCATAACAACAACAATGACAAAATAACTTTCTTTCTTTTTTGCTTGCAGAATTCAGAGAGCTCAAATATGTTGGTGAGTTTCTCTCTCTCTCTCTCTCTCTCTCTCTCTCTCTCTCACACACACACACACACACACACACACAAAAACACACTGCTGGAAATGATCTCATGTGTTTTCTCGGGCCGTGGCACTTTCCTTCTCTTTTTTATTTTCTTCTCCTTTCTTGCTAACTTGGGGGATGCTTCCCTATACATGTCTGTGAAAAGAGGAAGAGAGAGAAAAGAGAGAGAGAAGAACGGAACAAAGAGGAAGAAGGAAGGAGGGGGGGTGAACAGAGGAGGGCGAGTCATAAATATTTATCACCAGCAGCATCTCTGTTAGCTTAGTCTGCCTGTGAAAAGGATGAAACAGACAAGTGAGAGGCAACGACAGAGAAAGAGAGATGGGGAAAGAGACACAGAGGGAGAGAGGGAGAGGGAGAGAGGGAAAGGGAGAGGGAGAGAGGGAGAGGGAAAGAGACCAGGACAGTGCTGGGTTTTTGGCAGAAGACAGGGAGGGATTTGGAGCGAAGGGAGAGAGAGAGAGAGAGAAAGACAGAGAGAGAGAGAGAGAGAGAGAGAGAGAGAGAGTTAAAGACATTAGGTTAAGGAGACACGCCCTGCATTAAGCAGGGACCTGCACACTGAGGTCATTTATGAGCTAATCACCATCCACAACACGGCTGTCAAACATGTATAAACACACATCTGCTGTTCGCCTTCAGCTTCAGAGTTAATAATAGAAAATGATTCTTTGCTTCATGAAGTTTCACATTTCACCCTGATTCAGTTCAGTTTCATTACGAATCTTTAGGAAATTATCCAGTTCAGCATGAGATCTGAAATTTAAACATGATTTGATTCAATTATGATTCGTAAGGAAATGATTCTGTGTTTAATGAAATCTGAAATTTCACCATGATTCGATTCAGTTCGATTCGATTACGATTCTCAGGAAAATGATTCTCTATATCATAAAACTATGATTCAATTTGATTACGATTCTTTAGGAAATGATTCAGTGTATCAAGAAATCTGAAATTTCACCAGTTTGATTTGTTTCGATTATGTTTCTTCATGGTCTCATCATGACGTGATTCAATTTGACTACAATTATTTCGGAACCACATGATGATTATCATGCTTTAGGAAATGATTCAGTTCATAATGAAATCTGAAATGTTATTGCAATTCAGTTTGATTAGAATATGATTCTTAAAGAAATGTATGTATTATGAAATTTGAAATTTCACCCAATTTGATTTGATTTGATTCAATTCAATTTGATTAAGATTCTCTGTGTCATGAAATCTGAAAGTTCTGTTTGATGACAATTCTATAGGAAATGATCCAGTTCAGCCTGAAATCTGATATTTTACCGTGATTCAATTCAACTACAATTCTTGAGGAAATGATTCTATGTTTTATGATATCTGAAATTTCACTATGATTTGATTCAGTTCTCAATATTCTCAACAAAATGATTCTTTCTATCATGAGACCTCAAGTTTCATTGTGATATGATTCTGTTTGATTACGATTCTTCAGGAAATGATTCTATGTATCAGGAAATCTGAAGTTTCACAGTTCAATTAATTTTGAATATGATTCTTCATGGTTTCGCCATGGTGTGATTCCATTTGACTACAATTTTGTAGAAACCACAGTTTGATTATCATACATTAGGAAACGTTTCAGTTCATCATGAAATCTGAAATTTCACTGTGATTCAGTTTAATTAGATTATGATTCTTAAGGAAATTATTCTATGTGTTATAAAATCTAAAATTTTACCACTATTTGATTCAGTTTAATTCGATTTGATTAGATTAAGATTCATTGTATCATGAAATCTGAAATTTCACCATGTTTCAGTTTGAAATATGCAGCAATGGATTATAGACAGTGCGCACTTTGTTGAGTATTATTATCGATTGGAAATTATTGTAAAATTCTACAGTCGCTGCAGTTGAATGACTTTCTTCATGTGTGTTTATACCCCTGTTTTTTTCCCGAGTTCATTGTCCTGTTTGCCTCTGTGACCATCAGTCTGAACTTCCCTTAAACACACACACGCTTTCTCTTTTTCAGGCCTTCAGCATTACTGTCACATTGATTTTCTGTTTTTAGCAGCAATCTGTGCTTTTCCCTCTTTAATCTAGCCTCTCTCTCTCTCTCTCTCTCTCTCTCTCTCTCTCTCTCTCTCTCTCAGGTCCCACCTCTCTGCCAGTGTTCTCCTGGCACTGGTGGTATGTGGTCATGGCCATAGCTGTAGCCATCGCTCTGGCAGTGCTGATGGCGGTGTACGTGGCCAAACTGCGGCGGAAGGAGACGCGCTTTGGGTGGGTAGTGATGAGGCCAACGCCTTAATGCTCCTCCCTACTGTTACTGGATACATTTAAAACTCTCAGACACAGTTTAGTTCTGTATTTTTACTGGTTTTCTGTTTAGATTTTGATTTGCTTTTCCAAAAACGTAGTGGCCAAAATGTGTTTGGTGTCTGAAGTCTGCTTCTTTAGTTTTAGCTCTGGAGCTACGAGGCTAATGTAGCTTGCAGGGAATGGAAGCTTATATCCCACAAATTAGCGTAGTGCTAACTGCAAGCCTAAAACATCTCATTTGCCTCACAGCATGCACAGGTTGACCCTGTATGATACACTGTTTTTCTGAGATTTAATATGTTGGAACAGACAAAATAGAACCTGTAGTGCCCTGATAAAAAATACCATAATCATAATAACAATACAACTACAGTGATTTTTATTTAATATTTTACAAACTGCACTGCACTAAATCTAATTAAACAGGCCTAATTATGCGCACTTACTTACCATTAGCATTCTGCTGTTTGTCTGAAAGACTGGCTGCATTTCTCTGTAAACTTCAAGCCACATGTGATCCACTGTGGCTTTTACTGGTCTTAAAATGGCTTTGATGTAATGTAGTAATGGTAAAATGCTGCATGGCACGCTGTGATGCGCTGAGAAATTCATGTTTAGAGTCATGGAGCACCAGCGCTCGTCAATACAGAGAGTTGGCGCCGGCGTGTGTACCTCCATTAAAAAAAAATCGTTTTGATTTTTTGGATTTTGCATAACGTGGCGTGTCCGGTATGCAGTGGCCCTAAGATTTTTTTGCCAGAACTGTTACTTCAGTAGCAATGGCACATTCTGGAAGCCTCTTTTGTTTGAGTCGAACTCTTTAAATGTAACATCGGTAATCATGAGCATCTACAAAGTTGAGACTGAATTATCCACTGTTTAAAAAAGCGTGTTTATATGTTTGTTTGTTTACAGTGAGGCTTTTGAGCCCATGATGGAGAGCGGGGAGCTGGTGGTGAGGTATCGAGCTCGTCGCACCTACAGCCGCCGCACCACCGAAGCCACACGTGAGTTTCTCCTCAACGTACACTTTACGATAAAACAAATGATCATGCATCAAAGATTGCAGAAGATGATTATTGAAGATGTTAATAGGGAGTTTGACTCACTTTGCTGCAGTAACAGCCTCTGATTTGATTGAGCATTAGTGAGGTCAGGTACTGATGTTGGATGGTCAGTTCTGGATCACTCCAGCTCATCCCAAAGGTAGTGGATGGAGCTCCATCACTCCAGAGAACACAGTTCCACTGCTCCACAGCCCAGTGCTGGGGGCTTTATACCCCTCTAGCCCATGCTTGGCATTAGGCATGCTCATGTTTGGCTGCTCCTATTGGTCAGTGCTTTGCTATTGAGATTATACAAGCTATGTCAGCAATGGGTGACCGTAAAGTAGCTGGACTCACTCTTTAGAAGGGCTGTCTGGATACTGTTGGTCGTGTTGTATATCCTGACCATCTCAGATCAGCGTTAAACAGCAACTTTTCCATGTGCTGACGTATTATGTTGAGTCTGTTTCTCTCTATGTACTCTGCCTGAACCCAAGAAGGGTGATGGAAATCTCTCAGCCTGCCCAAACATGTTCTTTCATCCTTAAAAATGAAAGATTGTTCCGTGTACCAGCTCACACAGGCTGCTGACACCTAAATGGAAGTGCCTCAAGCCACATATACACCTTACAGGCCTGTCAATCTCAGCGTGACTCCCTGCACCTTGTTCTCAGGGTGTATTGTTTCCTCTTAATGGGAATGTTTTTTCAAAGACTCAAGTTTAGCATCACAGCTTTGGCATCTAAGCTGTTAGAGCAGAAAGAAAACAAGTTTGTTAGTCATGTTACGATGGCCGTTATACTCCAGTGCAGTTCTGTCATGATGTCATCACAGTTCTAACAACATCTCACATCTCCAAAGGGATAAATTTACAGGAGAAGCAGTAAGCATACTAAATTGTTATGGGGAATTCTGCTGTTTTTTTCAAAATTTCTGCTTAATTAAGTAGTTAAGACGTAAACACAGTCATTCAGAGGGGTTTGATGTTGAATACCCCATTTTAGTGGAACTTATCAATGACCCGTAGCGATGGCCTAGCAACCACCTAGCAATGGGCTAGCAACACCTTAGCAGCCACCTGGGATTCTATAGCAATGGCCCAGCAACACCTTAGCAGCCACCTGGGATTCCATAGCAGTGACTTTGTGAATCCAACTAAAAGTTTGTTCACGAATGTTAATCTTTGAGTTATGTTTGATATGATGTTCATCACAGATCGTATCATATCATTAAGCTGTAAACAGAGTCGTTCAGAGTGGTTTGGTATGAAACACTCAGTTCTAGATAAACTTACAGAGTCAGAATTGTTCACAGTGGTGGTGATAGGAACCAGACGTCCACCTCTAAAAGCTCCCTCACAGAAAGTTACTACATGAAATAATGAGATTTTTACTCTTAAAAGGTTTATTTTAAGGCAGCTCTTTCCAAGTGCTGCTCAAAGGTAAATGATGTTCACTGTGGTTGGTAGCGATGTACCGTAATGAAAAGTCAAAGGTGTTTTTTTTGGTTTGTTGTGAAAGCTTTACAAGGTAATGAGCATTACAAAAAGAAAAGAAATCCAGGTCCAAGCCCCCATGAGCAAGCCAGTGGCGACAGTGGCAAGGAAAAACTCCCTAGAGAAACAGGAAGAAACCTTGAGAGGAACCAAGACTCAGAAGGGGAACCCATCCTCCTCTGGTCGACACCGGATAGTAAACATTGTTAGTATAAAGTATTATAGTACAAAAACAGGGTAAAAGGTGGAGCAAACAATTAATTTGAAATGTCTAATGTTCCGCATAGAAACAGTGCAGAAATTGCATGTGGATGTTAACCTGCTGCTTAAATATGTGAGATCAAAGTAAACAAACAGCATATTTAATCACTGTTTATTCTTTTTTTCTTATCATTTAAATAGTTTGTTACATGTTGGATTTGGGCACTTTAATGTTTTGCATTTTCTCTGCCTGAATTTTCTACCTTTTTTTTTTTTCTCAGCCAAAAAGGCAGAAACTTTTGACCATTTTCAGCTCAAATGTTTCTTTCGAAAGAACTTGTTATTTCTTTCTAAGTAAAGCACTGAAAGGACATAAGAGCACACGCAAAAGTCGGCATCACATTTCAGCTCAGTGGGTTCTCCAGTTCAGACGGTTCTCTTGTTGTGTTCGTTGTGTTGCGCTCTCTGACGTGTCCCGGCTTGCCTGTGTGACAAAGTGACAGATAATAAGAGACAAGATGGAAAACAAAAACACCACAAAGTGGCTACGACAATAGACATGAGCAAAAAGAGAAAACAGGACTGAATGAAGAGATGAAGAGAGTTTTAACCCGTTTGCACTGTTAATGCACACTCAGCCATGCACTTACAAGCGCAGGTTTGTTTCTATACCTGATGTGGGTTCGTACCTAAGGTCTCATATATATATACATGTACATATATAAAATGTAGTAATATTATGCGTTATATGCATTATACAGTACTCTGCAAACCAGCCTTTATTTATTACATTTCCAGTCAAATTTCATTAAAAGAAGAAAATAAGTGAACAACAGGAGTTTCCAAAAAGTGACTAAACGCTACAGAGAAAATGGGGCTCCTAATGACCACCTGGAAGACCTGGTAGACCCCAAAACTGCCCCCATCAGATAAACAGCACTTAAAGCATTCATCTTTGAGAGAGAGTAGAAAAAATCAAGCTGCTTCAGATCTGAAGACATCCACAGGTGTTTCTGTCCATCCTTCCACTGTGAGAAGACGACTCAGAGCTATGGGTCTGAAAGGATGTGTAGCTGATCAAGAAGAACCTCGCTGAGAAAAGGAGACGGACACACCAAACAAAGAAGCTGAACGATGGACTGACCACCCCAGAGTCCAGACCTCAACGCCACTGAATGTGTTTGATTACTTCAGAAAATGATCAACCAGCTTCTAAGACTGAACTTTGGAGGTGTGTCTGCAGATTCTTTGAGGAACTGAAGAAATAATGGAAGCTGTAAAGAATGGACACTGAAATATGATGTTAAATGTATGTTCTCTGCTTTTCTCCTGAAGCTTGCAGTACTGAATGACCACTTTGACTGGAAATTAAATAAATAAAGGAAGGTGCTCTCTGAGTTGTGCACAGTGCTGTATATGTAAGGACCTCTTTGCAGTAAGACTGTTCTGTTGCTCTCAGGGTGTGAAACGGTCATAGTAACATGTGACAACATGTTTTAGGACTGAGCGCATACTTGTGTTTGGGCCATTAGGCTGCTGGTGAGCTCACAGCTGCAGGAACACCAGATGCACACCAGGACAGCATTACAGCCTCCCTCTGCCTTCAGACTCTCTCAGGAGAGAAGATGAATTATGTGCCGGGGGCCTCGTTCATGGCAGATTAACATGTTTTAGCTTGTTTGTAAACAAGTTGTTCTCAACTTTAGCAGCTGAGTGCATGAAGGATGAACGAACAATATAACCGTCAGTCTGATGAGTACTTTGTTTTTTCCTTTGCTATAAAACTACCTGTGCAAGGCAGAGAGAAGCTTCTGATTGACAGCAGAAAACTTTCTATCTACCTCGCATTACTTTTGCATAAATCAGGTTTGTAAGAATGTAATTTGATGTCAGCAGAGATTCTGATCTGAGTTTTTAAGGCTAGACGATTTGGCAACAACACAACATCTCGATACACAATTTACACCAAGTAAATTGAATGAATAATGAATAAAACATAACTAGAAGGGGAAGTTTGAACTTTAAGTTTTGACAAAGCTGTTGTTTTGAAATTCCAGGTGGTTGCTAAGGTGTTGCTAGGCTGTCCCAGGTGGTTGCTAAAATGTTGATAGGCCATTGCTAATGGAATCCCAGATGGCTGCTAAGGTGTTTGCTTTGTTATCCCAGGTGGTTGCTAAAGTATGGCTTTGCCATTTCTATGGTATCCCAGGTGGTTGATAAGGTGTTGCTAGGCTGTTGCTTTGTTATCCCATGTGGTTGCTAAGATGTTGATAGGCCATTGCTATCTTATCCCAGGTGGTTGCTAAGGTGTTGCTATGTTATCCCAGGTGGTTGCTAAGATGTTGACAGGCCATTGCTAAGGTATCCCAGGTGGTTGCTAAGATGTTGATAGGAAATTAGAAATTGATAGGAGATTAGAAATTTCTCAGCCTTTTTCCTGCAGGAAAAAACACTTGTGTTTCAATGAACACTGTACGAAAACTGTTCACGCAATCAACCCCAGAAGCATAAGCACATTATTCCTACATAGACGCTACAGTCTTGAAAAGTTTTTGGATTGAAAACAGAAAAAAGTGTAGAATGATAAACAAAGAACAGTAAGTTGACTTTGAGAAGCTAGATAAATGTTGACATAATGGGCTGATGTCCAGTCATCTGCTCACTATGCAGTTAATAGTTACTGTACACTAGTCGTTCTTTTATTTGATTGACTTTTCACATTATGTATGCTTGTTACTGAAAGATCACAGTTACTCAACGAACAAGTTCAGAGGAAACAAGAACCATAAAAACACATTTATACCACATTTCTAAGCTCACTTGATATGTTTATATCTACTAGGGCATTATTTTATTTCTTGCTAACAGTCATTGTTAAACAGCAGCAGACAGTAAAATATGTTCCTCATAGTATTTCCAACCTTTTATTTGCTTTTTATTCAGAACATACGAATGAATGATTGGCCCAGTTTCCCTTTGGCAAACTTTAGCTTTTCCAAAATCTTGACTATTAAAATACCTTCATGCATATTTGACCCAGGTCACGAATTGTATTGCTGGAATAAAAACAGTCTCAGATAAAGGGGTGGTGGACTGGCTCTAGTCCTTTGACCACTCTTCCTTTAGTGCGAAGCACTCGAATGATGGATGATATCATGGGTTAGCAGAGAGAGATGGAGGGGGAAGAAATGAAATCATAGAGTTCCTGCATAGATCAAGTCATTGTTTTATTTTGCTTGGTTGTTCAGGCTGGGAGTTAAGGGGGTTTTAATCATGATCTGGCTGGACTCCCTGGCCGTCACGTCCCCTCCACTTCTTTTTCCTCTGGGAATGTTTGTAGCGAGAGCACAGTCTTTTCCACTGCCTATTACTCATGCAGCAGGACTGGAGATAAGCTTTAGAGGGATTTCTTCACTCAGATGTTGCCTGTGCTCAATGTTCTAATCAGGAACTGGCTGGAGATGTTTTCATACTGTAACAGTGGACATCTTCCAACATGCTACGCAACTAAATCTGACTGATGTTTAAATTTGTCATAATGTCTGCCAGTAAAATTAGAGTTACGTTGCGTTTATTTTGGTCCAGCATGGCAACACACCACAGCGGATCCTCGTCCGATTTCTGTGGGAAGCATTGTACCGGGCATCGCAACAGTATATTGACTTGACAAAAAATATATGCAAATTGATCCAGCCAACCCAATCAGACAGCAGGTTTCTGCATGATTATTGTTTATAACTCAATGTATGGAACATTATTCCATTGCAACATGACAGCAGCTTGTAACAATTCCATTGATTTTTCTAAATTTCTGCCTAATTAAATGTTGAAGACGTAAACAAAGTCATTCAGAGTAATTGTTCAGTTTAGAGAAACTTACCGAGTCAGGATTGTTCACAGTGGTGGTGATAGGAACCAGACGTCCACCTCTAAAAGCTCCTTCACAGAAAGTTACTACATGAAATGGTTATGAATTCACTGCCTGATGATGTTCTTTTTCAATAGCTTTGAGAGGATTTTGGGTTTTAAAGATTTTAAAATGTGTTCTTAAAATCCATTTATGGTGGAGGGACACATGCAGAGCATTTTACCATCATCAACATTTTATATAAACGCTCTTGTAGGTTCACTGATGGTTTCTGATGGTAAATAAAATATGCAAGCAGTGAAAGGTGGTGAGGGGGAGGTGGGGGGGTTGCATGCTCATAGCAACGTGAATATGCGTGCATGTTCACTTGGAAACTATCGCAGTGTATCTAACAATAAAGGCAGCAGCTTCTTTGATACAGTGATAGGAAACACTGTAACTCACAGAAAGCTCTGATTCCACACACTGATCCATTTTCCTGACCAACATGGACATGAACTCACCTACGCTGGAGGCCGATTTTTAATCAGTAAAAAGGGCCAAAAATGTCAAAAGGATTACTGACTGATCATGTTAGATTTCATAGCTTTGATGAGTAAATTATTTAACTATAGTACTTAAATAAAACTTTGCTTTTCTCCTCAGTGAACTCTCTGGGTATCAGCGACGAGCTCAAGCAGAAGCTTCAGGATGTGATGGTGGACAGACACAAACTAACCCTGGGAAAGACTCTCGGAGAGGGTGAGTGTGGGACGCACAGCATTTTGGAGGAGACACATTCTATAAATGGAGGAGGAGACACGTTCTATTAATCTCTAATAATTAGCTGTTAACAAGCATTTCATAGTCATTAGAATAATTCAAATGTTCACACATATTCAAATTGAATACTACTCACAGTTAAAAAGACATGTAGTCATAAACCTCACTGTTATTTATATATATATATATATATATATATATATATATATATATATATATATATATGTCATACATATAATCAGGTGTGTTAAACGTTTTGACTGTAAACAAAGAATATGATGCACTTTCAAACAGAAAGAAACCAAATAAAGTGCAACTTTTACTTAGCTGATTTGTTACACCAGGAGCCGTATTACAGAAACATCCTAACTCTGAACTCAGCTCTGTTTAGTCTCCATGACGACTTCAGCTACTTAGCTATTACAGAATAACAGTTCCTGAGTTCCTAATCTCATCATTAACTCCAGATAAGAAAACAGAATCACACAAATATCCTAACTAGACTAAACCTCCTAAATACTGTCCTAACTTTAGGATAAACCCCAACAGGGTCCTAACTTCTGTTTAAGGTCTGTTTCTATGGTTTTTATGCTGCTTTGTCAGGCAGCATAGTTCACTACCAGCATAATGAGCTCCATTTATTTCTACTGTAAAACGCTGCTTTCACTGTGAGATGTTTTTCTTTTCTAACTCTGCGTTTTAAAAATCTCAGACGCTGCAGACTCGATCTCCACCGTCCCTCTGATTACCTTCGTGTGTTAATGTTGATGATGAAATATTACAGTGATGGTGGTGAATAATGAGGAGACGGAGCTGAACGTGTGTCTGTTTATTAGGAGGAGTAACATTAGCGCGCTCAGCTAAAGCATTTGGGAAATGGAGACTGAAACTGGGGAGCGGTGACGCTCTGATAAACAGCAGGGGGCGCTCTCACAGTATTCACTACTTACAGTTTATCACACTTTAGTTCTGTTTGACCTCTTTTACACCAGAAACAGTAGCTAACGTTAGCTGTAAGGATAACCAACTTGATTATTTTGACTGCATGTTTACATTTCAGCTGTGTGCAGATCATCAGTTGCTAGGCAACAGACATAACAGTTGACAGCTGACTTTGATCAAGTAGGTTAAGATTTCCTAACTTGAGATAAGGTGCTATAAGATAAGATAAAACTCTCAAATTAAGATCAGATTTGCTTCTGTAATATGAATTTGTAAAAAATCGTATATCTTATAAAAATAGAATGTTTCTGTAATACGGCCCCTGGGTTTATAGCGATGCTCTGGCACTAACAGTGTGTCAAAAAGCCCCGCCCACCTCAGTATAACACATCAGATTGACTTAATTGAGGCATTAACGAGGCCACGCCTTCCACAAATCAGCTCTCAACAAGTCATTCATTGTAATTAGGATGATAAAGTGATTGTTGTTCAGTGTTTTCTGATTCCACTAAAGCGTAAGTCAGGTCTGTGATGCTGTGTGTGAATGTCTGCAGGCGAGTTCGGCTCTGTTATGGAAGGCCTGCTGACTCAGGAGGATTCCGTTCTTAAAGTGGCCGTAAAGACAATGAAGAGTAAGTCAACGCGGGACTGGACATGTAAACATCCGCACTGCTGTCTCTACTCGCGTCTCAGTTACACGGTGCTATTAGACTCATCTTCTCTGTGTTGTGTATTCAGTTGCTATCTGCACCCGCACTGAGATGGAGGACTTTCTCAGAGAGGCAGCATGCATGAAGGAGTTTGACCACCAGAACGTCATGAGGCTACTAGGTAAAACCAGCAGATCACCACAGAAGTTCTCATCACTCAGTTACACTATAACTTTTTCATGCATGTATGTCTTCAGTAGCATTTTCAGTTGGCAATACTTTTACATCTACTTAAGTGTATTTGTGAGGATTCCATACTGAAAACATTCAATATCACAATGTGTTTTAATTATCATGATATTAGTTGATATATAAGTAGTAATTAGTTATTAGGCGTTAATAAAGTTAAGAAGGTAGTGTCAATAAAGTTACCATGTAATATAGTTAATAAGTTAGCAATAGTAAAGGTAATATGTTGACATTAATAAAGCTAATGATTTAGCATTAATAAAGTTAATTTAGCATTTGTAAAGTTAATTTAGCATTTGTAAAGTTAATAAGTTCTGAATAATAAAGTTAATATGTTGGCATGAATAAAGCTAATATGTTAGCATTCAGTAAAGCCAATGTGTAAAGTTAATAAATTAGAAAAAAATTGTTAACATGTTAGCATTAATAAGTGAATATGTTGTCATTGATAAAGCTAATAAGTTAGCATTAATAAAGCTAATGTCTTAGCATTAATAAAGTTAGTTTGGCCTATGTAAAGTTAATGTTAGAAATAATAGTTAAAATGCTAGCAAAAAATGGCTAATAAATTAGCATTAATAAGGTTATAAGTTAGCAGTAATAAAGTAAACATGTTGGTATCAGTAAAGCTAATAAGTTATCATGAATAAAGCTAATGTGTTATCATTAATAAAGTTGCTTTAGCATGTGTAAATGAAAAAAAATAATAATATTATTAAAAATAATAGTTAGAATGTTAGCATTAGGAAGTTACTAAGTCAGCATTTATACATATACATACACATATGCATACACATATTCATATACATATACATACACATGCATACACATATTCATATACATATACATACACATGCATACGCATATTCATATACATACACATATACATACACACACATATACATACACATATGCATATACATACACATATACATATACATACACATATTCATATACATATTCATACACATATACATATATTTTAGCTTTTTGCTCCAGTGCAGTAATAATGCTGTTCCTGCAGAAAGGCCACTCTGCCCATCTCTGTAAAATCCTTTATGAGGGAGCCTCATCTGAGTCCAAGTCTAAAGGCCTTCCTGTTAGCGGTTATAGTTTTGCCAGAATAGCTGTGGTTAGTTCTGCGGAAGCATTCGGTAAACATGTGTGGTGCTGTGTATCTGAACGTTCCGGAGTTTTGTGAAAGGAGATCTAACTCTCTTTTTGGATGAGTTAGAGGAGTTAGAGGAGTATTATGTGGCAAAAATTGCTGCCAAAAACACAGGAAGTTGTCACCGGTAATGCGGTTTGGACCCTGTGTGTGTGAGAATGATGGCTACCTTAAGTAATACTGGGATGGTGTTAGTCGTCCAGGGGGAGGTGGAGTCATTTAAAAGCATTACTGTGTATTCAGAGCAATTTTAGTGCCATTTAAATCAGCCATGTCTTTCATTTTGACACATTCCTGCATTAGTAAAGATACCAGTGCTATAAAACTAATCTTAGAAATAACTCTAGATTATATTATTATTCACTCGAAAGAGGCCCAGAATATTCTGTTGTATCTCCCTTTAGGATGAAGCAATTTGAACCACAAAAATACACTACATACCTTGATGTATGTGTAATCGATTTAATTACATGCGATGCTGGAAGTGATCTTTTCTGCCAGACACATTTCGACGCAGCACTCCTGAATGTATCGGCAAGTATATCGGGGGGAATAGCAGCAATTTCACGTTGGATGTTTTCCTTCAAATCTTCCACAGTGCGAGACTTTTCTTTTGAGCGTACCCCAAAGGAAGAAGTCTGGTGGTGTCAGATCCGCCGACTGTGGTGGCCAAAGCCCCTTTGAATTTACCCTGTTGCCGAAGAAGGACTCAATTTCTGCCATGCTCCTTGCATACTGTATACTGTACACCACCATCCTGATGAGAAGTCGAGTGACTGAGTGAAGGGGTACGGGATTATGCACCCAGAAGTTGCAAACAGAGGTTAAATGTTGCGACGACTGTCCGGCACCTGCCTCATCGCTCCGACGCAGGGGCATCCCAGCTTGTTCAAAGCTCCATATACTAAGGAGCTCATTGCACATTGTTTCGTTCAGATTGCTTCATCCTAGAGAGAGTTATTACAGAATATTCGGGGCCTCTTTCGAGTGAATCTCCCTGTATTAATCCTGTGACGTAAAAGAGACTGTAGAGATAACATTAACATCTTTACATTAATTCCATGTGAATTACCATGTCGGGAAGTACCCCATCGTATTCTACGGATAAGGAGTTTTTGAGGTTTTTCTCATCAGTGTACTCATCTTCCCTGTGGCCAAAATCAAGCCAACATGTATTCTCCTTTCTCAAGCGTATGAGTCTGAACATTAAAACATGTAAAATGACAGCAAATTTAGATTTTATGACTGTTGGTATGTTAACTGTTGGCTATGAATCCTCATGATAATGAAATTGCGTTCACTTAAGACGCTAAAATGAAATTGATAAAATAAATTATGATTGAAATCAGTATTTGGACACGAGTAGTTGAACTTTTAGGTGTCACGGCAATGTGAAAATTGAGTAGCCCCTCCCATCTTTTATTAATACTCATATTTCTTATCCTGTGTGGTCATAAACGTACAGATGCCCCAGGGTAATATTGTCAGTACCTCACCTCTCTGTATAAAACTAATCCTGCCCCAGTCTTGCTTTGCTGATCCGCACTCGTATACTGACGGTGTGTGTGTGTGTGTGTGTTGCAGGAGTGTGTCTGCAGACAGTAGAGAGTGAAGGTTACCCGTCTCCTGTGGTGATTCTGCCCTACATGAAACATGGAGACCTGCACAGCTACCTGCTCTACTCACGACTCGGAGACTGTCCTGTAGTGAGTTTATATTCAGCCTGTATTTATTCTCACTCCTGTATATAATATAATATAATATAATATAACATAATATAACATGATATAATATGTCCAAGAGTTTGTAGACATCAGTGTTTCTTCTGAAAGGATATTAATAGGGAGTTTGGCACGGGTTCAGTATCAGAATTTTCGGTACTACTAACATTTAGTATTACTATTAATTATTCAGTATCTACTATGAATGATTTAGTGTCTGCTATGAATTATTCAGTATCTACTACACATTATTATGTAATGTGTCAGTTGTGTAGTTGAGAGTGAAAAAACTGTATATATATATATATATATATATATATATATTTATATATATATATATATATGTACATGTGCAATTATTGTAGTTAAGGACAGATATAAAACACAAAAAGCACAAAGAGAAAAGAACTTGCCCCAAGCAAAGCAGATACACCTGCACACCACAAAACACGTCATACACACTGAGGGCAAATGCAGCGTGATGCCTCTGAGAAGAGCCTAAAAAGAGTCTTACATGCAAACAAAAACAACTCATGCACAAACTAATCCATCTGTTACCACATCTCATCTGTCTGTGAGCCTCTGCGCTCTATACTGAGATTATTAAAGCTCATGGTTAGAGCTAAAATGATAAAACTCACACTTACAGTTTATTTTGCATTGGGCCACTTCCAGTATCAGTCATGTATGAGCAGTCAGGCTCGCTACTATATTCAGAAAAGTGTTTAAAACTTTACAAAAACATTGTAAGATCCTGAAATGTTTACCTTAAATTCAGTTAATTGTGTTCTGCAACAGAAACAACTTCTTACATTATTTGTGTAACTTATTACCATGTTACTCATTTACACTCATTCCCCGTTTTTAACAGCTCCATTACATCTTAATGGATTTAAACGTTGGTTTGAGTCTGGGTTCACACGTCCCTCCAGACTAGAGCTGAGAAACAAGCTTGTTATCAGAACAGAAGTGTCTGGAACATTTTCCTGCATTATTTCAGTGAAATGTGAAGCCGCCTGGGTCCCACAGGAACATGTGCTTTTGCATGGTGCCTGGACATGCACTGCAGGCCACTGCTCCTAACTGCAATGACCAGTGGCAAGAAATAGTACTCTTGCGCCCTCTACTGGACAAACAGTGCACTGCCAGCATGATTCCTTCAGTTATTCTGACATATTCAGATAATATATCAGTGCTTTATCAGTTTCAGAATAAAAACCAATGGACAGAATTTCTGTTAATACATAAATAAAAATTCCAGTAAAAATGTAGAAATATATACACACTTCAAAAAGATTGTTCTTCAAGGGTTCTTTAGGAAAGGCAGTGGTTCTGTTTACATACTGTGGTTCTATGTACCATCCCCCAAAAAGGGCTCAGCTACTGTTACAATGTCAAGCTTGTAACCCGTTTTGGTGCTAGATAGAACCATTTTCAAAAAGGCTCTATATAGAACCACCTACAATACATTCTCTGTCGTTCTGAAGAACGATTCCACCATACAAAGAACCATTTAAACATGTAGCAACTCATAGTTCTAAATAGAACTATTGCCCTTACTAGAACCATCGTTTTAAGTGTGTATATAAAATCACACAATACACAACATGATCTATACATAAAGTAGGAATTGCCCGGTGTGTGGGATGTAACTTTAATTAAAGACATTATCAAAAAAGAAAACATGTCTGAGTTTTATATTCATGGTCGCTCCTGTTTTTCAGTACCTGCCGTCTCAGATGCTGGTGAAGTTCATGACGGACATCGCGAGAGGAATGGAGTACCTGAGCGGCAAGAACTTCATTCATAGAGACCTGGCTGCACGCAACTGCATGTGAGTACAGCAGATATGCTGAGTCAGCACATCAGCTCATACATTACGGCCCGTTTGTTTGTTTGGCTTTACTCTATATATCCTTGCTGTTCAAAGAAAAACAAGAGGGCAAAATATTCTTTACTTTCAATGTAAGTTAATGTAAAGAGATTTTATTTGAGGTATTTTTAGAGCATTTCTATTGGTCCAATCATCATGACGTGTTCACACAATGTGAAGAGCAGCTGCTGAGCTCAAATGTTGGTTAGCCTGGTTTTTGTCAGCACAATTTCCTGATAAAATACATTAAAAAATGGATGATGTAAATAATGCTGGTGAACGTATGATCTTTTGTGTCCTCACACAGTAAATAATGCATGTCTGTGTTTGTGTTTTTCAGGCTGAACGAGAACATGAATGTCTGTGTTGCTGACTTTGGCCTGTCTAAGAAGATCTATAACGGAGACTACTACAGACAGGGCCGCATCTCCAAGATGCCCGTCAAATGGATCGCAATCGAGAGCCTGGCAGACAGAGTTTACACCACCAAGAGTGACGTGGTGAGTGTGAGTGTGTGTGTGTGTGTGGCTGCAGTGTCATCACTGCACTAAGTGAGGTGTTCAGGTGTTCAGATGTTCAGATGTTCTGAGTGAGTCAGTGCTGAGTGTGTTTGTACAGTGGATGATGATGGAGCTGAGAGGTTATTATGAATCTGTGCTGCTGAGTTTTGTCTCAAATTACAAACATAATGACTTACATAATCACCAACTTACCATCAGACAAGATACGACACCATTTTAGCATTATTTTTGAAGTGCATCATCAGCAAGTTAGGGTTAGTGGTTAGTTATATATATAGTTATATATATATATATATATATATATATATATATATATATATATAACACAGATATTTATATATACATACATATAAAACAAGAACTTAGACTAAAAGTAAAATATGTTTTTTCCTTCTCCTGTAAAGTTATCATTTTGGAGATATGAGGTTTTGGTCCCACAGCAGTGATACACATATCACACACAGACGCAACATACTGTATATCGCTGTTGTCGGAAGAAAACCTCGAAAATCTCTGTTTTTTGTCGTTTTCAGTTTTTGACATAATTTGACAATACCTGTAGTCCTTTACATTGTTTGTAAATTTCATGATGAATGGACCAAAAGAAACGGCCCAGAGTGACTTGGAAAAAAGTCTGGTTCCATTGACTTACATTAAAAGTAAAGTATGTTTTTTCCTTCTCCTGTAACGTTACCATTTTGGAGATACGAGGTTTTGTTCAGACAACAACGATAAGTAAATAATAAACTATAAATTAATAATATACTAATAATATACAATAATAATAATAATAATAGTATAATTAATAATTTGCTAAAATTATTAATACACTATCCTATAAATATACTCTAATACACTCTAATTAGTTACAATACTTAAAATTCAATAAAAATCATATAGTGCGATTATCTGTACACAACATATTATCAATATTGTACAGTGATTTTCTTTACCGCAGTATTCTGGGTGTTCGTTACATTGTGTTAATGATGTTAATGTTATTAGAACTTGATGTTATTTCGGAATCTTCTACAGCTCCGTTCTCATCGGTCTGGACTCGTCAACATTTCTACTTTTTATATACTGTTTCATACTCATTACATCATCATATTAGAATATTTTATTATTTTATTAGTATTATTTGTCTTGTTTATGTGCAGTAAGTCCTCTCAGTCAGTGTGTCCTGTCCTGTTTGTCCTCAGTGGTCGTTCGGGGTGACGATGTGGGAGATAGCCACACGCGGTCAGACTCCGTACCCTGGCGTGGAGAACAGTGAGATCTACGATTACCTGAGGCAGGGCAACCGCCTCAAACAGCCGCCCGACTGCCTGGACAGCATGTGAGCAAAACACGACACAGGAGGAGCTCTGCAGCACACAGCAAACAAACAAACAAACACACACACACACACAGCAAACAAACAAACACACACACACAGCAAACAAACAAACACACACACTGTATGAGGTCAGAGCAAAATCACTGAGCAGGAATAAGCTGAACATCACTGACCTGATAACAGATAATGGAGATAATCACTCTCTCACTCTTTCTCTCTCTCTCTCACTTTCTCTCTCTCTCTCTCTATCTCTGTCTCTCTCTGTCTCTCTCTCTGTCTCTCTCACTCTCTCTCTCTCTCTCACTTTCTCTCTCTCTCTCTCTCTCTCTCTCTCTGTCTCTGTCTGTCTCTCTCTTTCTCTCTCTCTCTGTCTCTCTCTGTCTGTCTCTCTCTCTCTTTCTCTCTCTCTCCCTCTCTCTCTCTTTTTGTCTCTCTCTCTCTCTCTCTCTCCCTCTCTTACTCTCTCTCTACTTCTGTCTTTCTTGATCCATCTCATGCTTACTTTCTTTCTTTCTTTCTTTATTCCTTTCTTTCTTTCTTTTTTCTTTTGCTCCCTCTCTTGCATACTTTCTTTCTTTCTTTCTTCTTTCTTTCTTCCTTCCTTTCTTTCTTTCTTTCCTGTTTGCTCCCTCTCTTGCATACTTTCTTTCTTTCTTTCTTTCTTTCTTTCTTTTTTTATTCTTTCTTTCTTTCCTTTGCATACTTTCTTTCATTCTTTTTCTTTCTTTCCTGTTTGCTCCCTCTCTTGCATACTTTCTTTCTTTCTCTCCTGTCTGCTCCTCCTCTTGCATACTTTCTTTCTTTCTTTCTTTGTTTTTTCCTGTTTGCTCCCTCTCTTGCATACTTTCTTTCTTTCTTTCTTTCTTTCTTTCTTTCTCTCCTGTTTGCTCCGTCTCTTGCATACTTTCTTTCTTTCTTTCTTTCTTTCTCTCTCTCCTGTTTGTTCCCTCTCTTGCAAACTTTATTTATTTATTTATTGCTTGCATACTTTCTTTCTTTCTTCCTTTCATTTTATTCTTTTTTTCCTGTTTGCTCTCTCTTGCATACTTTCTTTCTTTCTTCCTTTCTTTTTTATTCTTTCTTTCTTTCCTGTTTGCACCCCCTCTTGCATACTTTCTTTCTTTCTTTTTTTATTCTTTCTTTTTTCCTGTTTGCTCCCTCTCTTGCATACTTTCTTTCTTTCTTTCTTTCATTTTATTCTTTTTTTCCTGTTTGCTCTCTCTTGCATACTTTCTTTCTTTCTTTCCTCCACTCTTTATTTCTTTCTTTCTTTCTTTCTTTCTTTCTTTCTTTCTTTCTTTCTTTCCTTTGTGCCCCCCCTTGCATACTTTTTCTTTCTTTTTTCTTTCTTTCTTTCTTTCTTCTTTCTTTCTTTCTTTCTTTCCTTTGTGCCCCCCCTTGCATACTTTTTTCTTTTTTTCTCTTTCTTTCTTTCCTGTTTGCTCCCTCTCTTGCATACTTTCTTTCTTTCTTTCTTTCTTTCTTTCTTTCTTTCTTTCTTTCTTTTGCTCCCTCTCTTGCGTACTTTCTTTCTTTCTTTCTTTCTTTCTTCTTTCTTTCTTCCTTCCTTTCTTTCTTTCTTTCCTGTTTGCTCCCTCTCTTGCATACTTTCTTTCTTTCTTTCTTTCTTTCTTTTTTTATTCTTTCTTTCTTTCCTTTGCACCCCCTCTTGCATACTTTCTTTCATTCTTTTTTCTTTCTTTTCTGTTTGCTCCCCCTCTTGCATACTTTCTTTCTTTCTGTCTTTCTTTCTTTCATTTTATTATTTTTTCCTGTTTGCTCTCTCTTGCATACTTTCTTTCATTCTTTTTTCTTTCTTTCCTGTTTGCTCTCTCTCTTGCATACTTTCTTTCTTTCTCTCCTGTCTGCTCCCCCTCTTGCATACTTTCTTTCTTTCTTTCTTTCTTTCTTTCTTTCTTTCTTTCTTTCTTTCTCTCCTGTTTGCTCCCTCTCTTGCATACTTTTTCTTTCTTTCTTTCTTTCTTTCTTTCTTTCTTTCTTTCTTTCTTTCTTTCTTTCTCTCCTGTTTGCTCCCTCTCTTGCATACTTTCTTTCTTTCTTTCTTTCTCTTTCTTTCTTTCTTTCTTTCTCTCCTGTTTGCTCCCTCTCTTGGAAACTTTATTTATTTATTTATTTATTGCTTGCATACTTTCTTTCTTTCTTTCTTTCATTTTATTATTTTTTTCCTGTTTGCTCTCTCTTGCATACTTTCTTCCTTTTTTCTCTCTCTACTTCTGTCTTTCTTGATCCATCTCATGCTTACTTTCTTTCTTTCTTTCTTCCTTTCTTTCTTTCTTTTTTCTTTTGCTCCCTCTCTTGCATACTTTCTTTCTTTCTTTCTTCTTTCTTTCTTCCTTCCTTTCTTTCTTTCTTTCCTGTTTGCTCCCTCTCTTGCATACTTTCTTTCTTTCTTTCTTTCTTTTTTATTCTTTCTTTCTTTCCTTTGCACCCCCTCTTGCATACTTTCTTTCATTCTTTTTTCTTTCTTTCCTGTTTGCTCCCTCTCTTGCATACTTTCTTTCTTTCTCTCCTGTCTGCTCCCCCTCTTGCATACTTTCTTTCTTTCTTTCTTTGTTTTTTCCTGTTTGCTCCCTCTCTTGCATACTTTCTTTCTTTCTCTCCTGTCTGCTCCCCCTCTTGCATACTTTCTTTCTTTCTTTCTTTGTTTTTTCCTGTTTGCTCCCTCTCTTGCATACTTTCTTTCTTTCTTTCTTTGTTTTTTCCTGTTTACTCCCTCTCTTGCATACTTTCTTTCTTTCTTTCTTTCTTTCTTTCTCTCCTGTTTGCTCCCTCTCTTGCATACTTTCTTTCTTTCTTTCTTTCTTTCTTTCTTTCTTTCTTTCTCTCTCTCCTGTTTGTTCCCTCTCTTGCAAACTTTATTTATTTATTTATTTATTGCTTGCATACTTTCTTTCTTCCTTTCATTTTATTCTTTTTTTCCTGTTTGCTCTCTCTTGCATACTTTCTTTCTTTCTTCCTTTCTTTTTTATTCTTTCTTTCTTTCCTGTTTGCACCCCCTCTTGCATACTTTCTTTCTTTCTTTTTTTATTCTTTCTTTTTTCCTGTTTGCTCCCTCTCTTGCATACTTTCTTTCTTTCTTTCTTTCTTTCTTTCTTTCTTTCTTTCTATCCTTTGTGCCCCCTCTTGCATACTTTCTTTCTTTCTTTCCTCCACTCTTTATTTCTTTCTTTCTTTCTTTTTCTTTCTTTCTTTCTTTCTTTCTTTCCTTTGTGCCCCCCCTTGCATACTTTTTTCTTTCTTTTTTCTTTCTTTCTTTCTTTCTTTCTTTCTTTCCTTTGTGCCCCCCCTTGCATACTTTTTTCTTTTTTTCTCTTTCTTTCTTTCCTGTTTGCTCCCTCTCTTGCATATTTTCTTTCTTTCTTTTTTATTCTTTTTCTTCATGTTTGCTCCCTCTCTTGCATACTTTCTTTCTTTCTTTCTTTCTTTCTTTGCTCCCTCTCTTGCATACTTTCTTTCTTTCTTTTGCTCCCTCTCTTGCGTACTTTCTTTCTTTCTTTCTTCTTTCTTTCTTCCTTCCCTTTCTTTCTTTCTTTCCTGTTTGCTCCCTCTCTTGCATACTTTCTTTCTTTCTTTCTTTCTTTCTTTCTTTCTTTTTTTATTCTTTCTTTCTTTCCTTTGCACCCCCTCTTGCATTCTTTCTTTCTTTCCTTTGCACCCCCTCTTGCATACTTTCTTTCATTCTTTTTTCTTTCTTTCCTGTTTGCTCCCCCTCTTGCATACTTTCTTTCTTTCTGTCTTTCTTTCTTTCTTTCTTTCATTTTATTATTTTTTCCTGTTTGCTCTCTCTTGCATACTTTCTTTCATTCTTTTTTCTTTCTTTCTCTTTTATTCTTTTTCTTCCTGTTTGCTCCCTCTCTTGCATACTTTCTTTCTTTCTTTCTTTCATTCTTTCTTTCCTTTGTGCCCCCTCTTGCATACTTTATTTCTTTCTTTCTGTCTTTCTTTCTTTCTTTCTTTCTTTCTTTCCTGTTTGCTCCCTCTCCTGCATACTTTCTTTCTTTCTTTCTTTCTTTCTTTCTTTCTTTCTTTTTTCCTGTTTGCTTTCTCTCTTGCATACTTTCTTTCTTTCTTTCTTACTTACTTTCCTGTTTGCTCCCTCTCTTGCATACTTTCTTTCTTTCTCTTTCATTCATTCATTCGTTCTTTCTTTCTTTTTCCTCTTTGCTCTCTCTCTTGCATACTTTCTTTCTTTCCTGTTTGCACCCCCTCTTGCATACTTTCTTTCTTTCTTTTTTATTCTTTCTTTCTTGTTTGCTCCCTCTCTTTCATACTTTTTTTCTTTCTTTCCTTTGTGCCCCCTCTTGCATACATTTTTCTCTTTCTTTTTTTCTTTCTTTCTTTCTTTCTTTCTTTCCTGTTTGCTCCCTCTCTTGCATACTTTCTTTCTTTCTTTTTTCTTTCTTTCCTGTTTGCATACGTTTTCCTTTTCTTTCTTTCTTTCTTTCTTTCTTTTTTATTCTTTCTTTTTCCTGTTTGAACCCCCTCTTGCATACTTTCTTTCTTTCTTTCTTTCCTTTGTGCCCCCTTTTGTATTCTGTCTTTCTTTCTTTCTTTTTTTTAGTACCTACTCTCACTTTTAGACACGTTTTAGCCACAAAATAAACACATACTTTATTGAATATTATTTTAATAAAACAGTATTTATTGGAATTTTATTGTGTTTCACTTCAATATTTTTCCTGTTTTCTGTTCATGTTCATTCATCATTAAATGATCACAGAATGCAAAGGACAGCTGATAAATGCTGATGACAATTGCATATAGATATAAAATAAAATGCATCATGATTATTGATAATATCACAGTTAAATCTGCCCCCCAGATCATTAACAGGTCTGTTGTATCTGTGCTGCAGATATTCCCTGATGTTCTCCTGCTGGTTACTGAGCCCTAAAGACCGGCCGAGCTTCGAGGTCCTGCGCTGCGAGCTGGAGAAAGCCCTGGACGAGCTGCCAGACCCCCAGGACCCTGATGAGATCCTGTACGTCAACATGGAGGAGTCTTCAGGCGAGCTGGGGGCCGTGGGGGGCCGGGAGCCCATCATGGGTGGCCCCTGTCCTCTGGGTGCCCTGAAGGGCACAGACTCGGTGGCCACCGTGGAGATCCACCCTCCGGGTCGTTACGTCATCTGCCCTCAGCACGAGAGCCAGCGTCTGCTCAGCGCCGAGTCCTTAGAGAGCCTGAACCTCGCAGGCTCCGCCCCCATGATGCTGCTACAGCCGTCCTCTCACTCCACCCCCCTCCCCTCAGCCGACCTCCAGCCGTCGGAGGAGAGAGAAGGGCCAGGGGGGAAGAGATTACCCTGGCACTGATGCTAAAACTGACTCACAGAGACTACAAATCCATTTTGGCGCTGTACTGCCTCATGTGGTGAGATTAGGTATTGACCCTCAGTGCCTCCTGCCCTTTGCACATCCCCTCCGCACATTCGCGGAACCACAAACACACTTCCCCTGACATTCCATGGTTTATTTGAGAGATTCGTATATTATAGACCAAACATTTTTACTCATATATGACTTTTTACTTCTATAATATAGTTTTGTAATTATCACACACACTTTAAAAGGATTCTTCAAGGGTTCTTTAGTACAGAAAATGGTTCTTTAAAGAAGAAGATTGATGGAGAGTGTGTTTAATATGGTTCTGTATGGAACCTTTTTAATAAGGCCCCAAAAAGTGTTATTCTATAGTTACAAGCTTGACATTGAAACAACAGCAGAACCATTTCTGGTGCTATATAGAACCATGTACAGCACATTCTCCATTAATCTGAAGAACCATTTCACCATGCAAAGAACCATTTAAGCATGCAAAGGGTTCTTTGAGTGTTCATGGTTCTATATAGAACCATTTTCTTTAACAAACCCTTGAAGAACCATCTTTAAGAGTGCAGTTGTATATTTGCCCCATACACGTTAGGTTCACTCTCACCAACGACTGTATATAGTGAACAACAGGGACTCCCATTGTTACGATTATTACGAAGCCTGAAACTGAAAACCGGAATCCTTTTCGTGTTTGTGCGGTACAGCCCCGCCCACGTTGGTTCTGGCCACGCCCCCTCTTCATGCTGGCAGAGTGCACAATGACTGAATTTGACATTGTTCGTAATTATTCAGACCACAAGTGCTGAATAGTTATTGACTGGATGTGTAAACGTTAGTTTGACTTACACGACTGGGTGCAGGGTTAGAAACTGTACTACAGCCAGCCACTAGGGGGCGTCCAAGACATTTTGGCTTCACTTTTCAACTGCTGTCCACTCATATGACCACAATCAAGTCATTAGATACATCCAGGTCCAGTGTATTAAGTCAGGTCCATGTTCATCAGACAAGCAAGCACGATGCCAGTGTACATTACAACACATGAATCACGCATTCACAATGAACTCAGGTGGTACTAACCAATTAATGATAATGCATCTATCACCAGCACATCACTGCCAGGAATCAGAACTCCTGTGGGCTAGATTTCCCCTTTGTAGTGCCTCTTTGTAAGTAAAGACGGAGGTTTTATTGTGTGCCCTCTCATGACCGTTCAGTCCAACATATCCGTCCACAAACAAATCAAAACTTGAAGCACTTCTGTTTAATGCATTATGGCCAGAGCCGGATTATGAGGAGGCTGGCCACTTCCTATTTCCCCCATTATATCAAAAACAGGACTGCAAAACAGCAGAGGGCACACGCGAGTGAGTCATCAATGAATGGGAGTCAAAGGAGCTCAGCGGCTAAAAACGAAAAGTTAAAATAGTTTCTAATCACTAACACAGAACTTTCCTTTAATTCTAGAGAGTAGAAGGATGTATTTCACTAAAAACACAAAGAAAACTCACCTGTATGTTTCCTTTTTTATACAGCAAACAGGTTTTGGGCAGCAGGACGCTAACATTACTGCTACTGAGTGCTGATTGGTTGGCGAGCAGAGCAGCTCATTGGCCGTTCGCGCGCATAGACGTCATGACGTACACAAGGCGCCGTTTTAAACACCTATAACTCGAGTTTAAAAGCTCTTAAAAATATACAGCAGTGTTAAAATGTTTTATGCTGTTCTGTGTTCAGGAAATGAATGAATTTTTTTACATTAAAAATGTTTAAGCATTTCTAAATGCTCCATATCAACCCATTCATTTTGGACTCGCTGAGGAGCGCCCTCTGGTGTTTGAGAAACCTGGAAGACATTACAGAGCGGTAGTTCTCCTCTCCACACGTTCTCTGATATGGCCTCAAGTAACAACTAGGGACAGACGTACATCTCGTTAGGGAGGTTGGAAAGAGCGAAAGACATACACAGCTTTGATAAATGTAGTTTAACTTTAACTCTCTCACTATTGTAAAACAACTAAGGAGCAAAAACCAAACCAAATCCTCAGTGCTGTTTTGGTGTTTGAAGAGTTTAAGGGGCACTCCGGCCAAAATTAAAATGGTATCATCTACGCTACTTCCATGCTTTTTGGTGTAAACATGCCTGCTCGCTTCCACAGTAGTGAGAGTGAAACTCCAGTATAACGATGAGGAAACCCCCCTTCTGATGATGTATCTTGAAGGTGAGAGGTACTCTGAATAACCTCAGCCACTTTGGGGTGGATTTTTGGGGGGTTTTGAATTTTTTTACTGGCTAATGCAGAAGGAAGCCAGATAGCCAATGTTACCTAAGCTCCTGCTGGTGTGAGTTCATGGCGGCTTATGCGCCACCCTGCTGGAGAAACCTCAAAAACAAGGCGTTTACCATTATTACACCATCATTATAGTGGAATTCAGCTAGAGATGCCTGTGGCAAACCGTGACATATAATATTTTCGTAGTTTCATGACGCATCTGAACCAATGGCCTCTGGGAAATTCACAGCACAGTGCAGAAGTTTACTGTCCGGCTTATTAATGACCTATAAAAATAAAGGAATAAAACATTATGTGTACATATTTAATATTGTGTACACATTGCAACACCCTATCGCCTAAACCAATGCATGCTGGGTATTGTAGTGAGAATACTGAGGGATGAAAACACAAAAAACATAAAATCATGAATTCTGTCAAACGACAAGGCTGAGGAATGCAACTGCAATAACATGACATAACATAGTAAATGCTAGTTTTAGGCCGGAATGCTCCTTTAGCTCTTCAGAGCCCAACGTTGTGATTATATCTGAATACCTGCCTAACTAGCAGCAGAATAAAGGCGCTCTGGATGTTTGAAACACATAATTAAAAAGGAACTGAAGTTTCACTTCAACAACGAAAGGTAGCCGTTGTCCTCAAACTGATCTGAGACCAGTTTTATGGTTTCTGTGACAGCAGTGAATAAGCTGGGTCCCAAATCAGCCTCCTAAAGGGCAGTAGGTGAAACATGGTGGGGGCACAAACTGGGCTTTACGGCCTCGACTCAAGCACAGTATTATTGGTTGTGTTTGTTTTTGTTCTTTTCTCTGTATATATGAAATTCTTGCACTAATCAGTTTCAACATTATTGTTTTGTGTTTGTGTTATGTTTTGTTATGCATCTTTTTTCGCTCGTTTGTTTGACATCCCTACCTGACGTTTAGAAGAAGAGCTGTGATTTTTATGCTAATAAGACATAATTTGAGAAATTGTCATTGAAAATATTGATAATAATGAAAATTTGTGTGCTTTAAGCTAGAATTTCGAATATGAAAGGCTAAAATGAAAACAGATCATAAAACAATTTTATCTTTCTTCAAATGCTTTTTTTATTCAGAAGTTTTCAGAATAATTGATTGGAATTAATTTTCCTTCATTTGGAAATATAATAATCAATGCATTATGGGAATAAAGTGGTCCGTGAGGACCCTCACTGATTCTGTGGAAAGGTATGACTTTACTATCAGTGGTACTTTCTCCAACATTGCTTTAAGGGGGAAGTCCACCAGTTTTTCAAGATTTAGGCATAATTGAGTGTGTGAGATGTAAACAGTGATTCAGAGTGGTTTGGTGTGAAATGGTTCAGATGTCTTTACAGTGGTGGTGATAGGAACCAGGGGTCGCCATGACTACAACACAAATATAGACATTTTATTTACTATCCAAAACCACCAGTGAACCTACACGTCTTCAGAGTTTATATGGAGTGTTGATGATGGAAAATAGTGGAAAGTGAGGGAGCTTTTAGAGGTGGACGTCTGGTTCCTATCACCCCCACTGTGAACAATTCTGACTCGGTTTCTCTAGAATGGAGCGTTTCACACCAAACCACTCTGATTTACATCTTAACCACTTAATTATGTAGAGATTTTGAAAAATTGTCGAGTTCCCCTTTAATGGTTTTTGAGCTATTTTGTAAAATTTTCAAAAAAATAGTCGAATGTCTGGTGAATTATGAGAGAAAGATATAAAAAAATATATGTTTGCTATAGATTTGAGATTACAGTTTGGTACGTTATACTGCCCATGTTCGTTAGCTGCCATGATCTAGATTTTTTACAACTTTTTGCCTTTTTTGTTGTTTTATTTTCAAAATGTAACACTTTTATGCGTCTTTTTTCTCCTCATAATGTTAAAATGCAGTATCTCAGCTTCAGTTTTTTATGACGTGTCCATTTCGAGGTCAATACAACTTTCAGATGTTTCAAAGAACTTTTATTATTTTGGGGTACGATTTTTTTGTTGCGGTACAAAACTGTTACATCGTCTAAATTCATATGTGAACTTCACACATAAAAGTGCCTTTGGGAAGCCAGTATTTTGCCTTAAGACGGCTCTGTTATGTACAAATGTGTAGCAATAGTTTCATGTGTCTAGATAACATTAATGTCACTGTTATGATTTTTCTTGCTGAAAGATTTTGATACGCTTTTATATGAAATAAATGCTGCCTGCACAATTCGTACATTTGCATTTGTTATTTATCATCTTCGAAATAGTGAGTCAGTATTAAAGTCAGAGTTCAGAAGCTTTACTTAAAGCCTGCTTACATAGGGACTTCATAACATAACATAACAAAACATAACATAAGCATGAAATGATATATTTACAAAGCAATACTTGAATGTTTAACAGCTTAAGCCAGTAATTGTAAGGTGACCAAGACAATTTACAAAGTAAATAACATTGCACTGACATACGAGACCTTGAACTGCCTTAAAATGCCATTTATAACATTTTATGAAGCTTTTTTTCCAAGTAAAAGAACTTATAAGGCCTCATCAAGAGCTTCATGTATTGTGGTCGAGTCTGAGGCCTTCGAGCTTGGGTGATAATTGTCATACATATTCTCCCATGTATGAATAAACATACTCAGCATGGCCAAAAGTATGCGGACACACTTCCTATTTCAGGCGTTTCATTTCAGGTGTTTCAGCCACTTTTGCTAACAGGTGTATAAAATCAAGCACATAGCCTTGCAGTCTCCTGCTCCTGACAACTGTAAGTGCTGTTAGTGTGAAATGGAAGCACCTAGGAGCAACAATACCTCAGGCATGAAGTGGTTCACAGAAATGGCCTATTCTCTGATAAATCACTCACTAAAGAGTTTCAAATTGTCTCTGGAAGCAGCATCAGCACAAGAACTGTCCATCAGGAGCTTCATGGAATGGGTCATTCCATGAAGCAGCTGCACACAAGCTTAAGATCACTATGTGCAATGCCAAGCGTCAGATGGAGTGGTGTAAAGCGTCGCCACTGGACTCTGGAGCAGTGGAAACGTATTCTGTGGAGTGATAAATCACGTTTCTCTATCTGGCAGTCTGATGGATGAATCTGGGTTTGGTGGATACCAGGAGAACGCCACTGTGAGCCAGGCCCTCCCTACCAAACATCAGTGTCTGACCTCACAAATGCTCTTTAGACTGAAGGGGCACAAATTCCCACAGACACTCCAAAATCTTGTAGAAAGCTTCCCAGAAGAGTGGAGGCTGTTACAGCTGCAAAGGGCGACCAACTCCACATTAATGCCTATAGTATTGGAACGGGACGTCCAACAAGTGCACATAGGTGTGACAGTCAGGTGTCCACATACTTTTGGCCATACAGTGTGTGTGTGTGTACAAAAATTTTGTACTTGAAGAAAAGTAGAAATTGAATTTGTAAAATATTACTTAAAATAGTTAAAGCAGTAATCCTGTCTGTGTTTTTACTCCCAACAGTACTGTGAGTTACAGTTTTACTATTTTGATTTATTTTGATGAACAGTGTCTTTTAAGGAGGCCTGTCGTAGCTGTTCGTGTCTGCAAACACACAGTCCTCCTTAATAGAAACTATGTTTATACTTCAAAAGAAATTCAAAAATATAGAAGTTATACATGGTGTTGTTTAGCAGGCCTCTGCCTTATTAGATCTATTAATGACGCTTCATTTATAACAGTGATATATATGGAATAAACATGTGTATTTTAAGGCCCCTCAGGTCAAAAATGCTGTTTGCTTCATAAAACACCTTATCTTATCTTGCAATTACTGGCTCAACTACTCAAGAATTGCCTTATAAACATACTATTTGATTCTCACACGTGTTAAAGGGGAATTCCACCCATTTTTCAAAATTTCTGTATGGTCTTTCAGTTTAATGTTAATAATTAAAACCATAATTATATTTTCAGACTTTCCACTATTTTACCATCATCATAATTCCATATAAACTCAGAAGACTCGTGTAGGTTCACTGGTGGTTTTGGATAGTAAATAAAATGTCTATATTTGTGTTGTAGTCATGGCGACCCCTGGTTCCTATCACCACTGTAAAGACATCTGAATTTCTACAATAAACAATTTCACATCCAACCACTCCGCATCACTCTGTTTACATCTCACACACTGAATTATGCGGAAATTTTACAGAATTTCATGGAACTCCCCTTTAGCAGTATCCATGGAGGCTTCCTTCGAAATAAAGCGTTACTAAGTCCTCTGTATGTGACTCAGTCCTCTGTACTGTTCACTGCTCAGTTGCTCAGTAACTTGGTTTTACGACTAGCAGAGATCAAAAGTTCAAGACTGCAGACGTTTCCACGGCTTCCACTTTCAGTGGAAAGTAAAATGGAGGGCTCTGCTGAGGTAGGCTGCTTAATCTGTTCACACAAATCTTTTGGTCAAAAATATTAGATAAAAAAAATCACAAATGACGTAAGCTTGAGTATCTGACCTTTTGATCTATGGCTTAAACCGTGCTTCTGTTCCTTTTCTGTTGGTTTACTGCTCACAGATAGGAGACGTTGTTCGTTATGGGCAGTTTGGGGACTTAATTGAATTCTCTTACCCTATTGGCTTCTCACACTGGGGTGTGTATGAAGGAGATGGGCACATAGTGCATTTTGCAGTAGGAGGTAACAGACTTATTAACCCTTTACTGCATTCATTATGAAATACACAAACATGCTTTCAGGATTTAGGTGTTTATAATAAAGTGGCCAGTGAGTGGAAGCACAAGGTAGGCGTTTCTAATAAAGTGGCCAGTGAGTGGAAGCACAAGGTAGGTGTTTCTAATAAAGTGGCCAGTAAGTGGAAGCACAAGTAGGTGTTTCTAATAAAGTGGCCAGTTAGTAGAAGCACAAGGGAAGTGTTTCTAATAAAATGGACAATTGATGGAAGCACAAGGTAGGCGTTTCTCATAAAGTGGCCAGTAAGTGTAAGTACAGAGTAGGTGTTTCTAATAAAGTGACCAGTGAGTGGAAGCACAAGGTGGGTGATTCTAATAAAGTAGCCAGTCAGTGTAAGAACTTTTCACATCCTTCCCATAATGATCTTTTTGGTGTAATCTTTTCAGATGAGAATGAACTGCAGAGACGGTTCCGGGTGCATGTGCTACAGAGAGTGTTCCCCTCATCTGGTAACATTCTTCTCGGACACACTAAGGTCCGGCGGGAGCACATCACCCGGGTGCCGGTACCTAAAGGAGCTCATATCAAAATCAGCAATGACTGCCATCACAGTCCAGCATCTACAGCCACAGACATGAGGAGGCGAATGTATGGCCTGCTGGACGAAGTTCTTGAGTACAACTTGTTAACGCACAACTGTGAACATTTCGCCACGTTTGTGCGGTACGGAGTGGCCGTGTGTAATCAGGTGAGTCCAGGTGAGGTGAATCCATGTGCTGAGTTTCAGGCAAGATATAGAAATAAGTACTGTTTAAGAGTTGGCACCCTTCATTTATTGATTATCCAGTCAAAACAACTACAGATTATTAAATTTTAGGAGATATTTGTGTTTGATGTGTAGCTGTCAAGAAGAACCTCACTGAGAAAAGGAGACGGACATATCAAACAAAGAAGCTGAACAATGGACTGACCACCCCAGAGTCCAGACCTCAACACCATTGAATGTGTTTGATTACTTCAGAAAATGATCAACCAGCTTCTAAGACTGAACTTTGGAGGTGTGTCTGCAGATTCTTTGAGGAACTGAAAGTGAGTCTCCTGAGAAGAATGGAAGCTGGAATAAGGGAACGAGTGACTCACTGAACATTCAAACAGCTGAGATTAGATTTAGTTGTTGAGGCTTCTGTGTTTTTACATTTTTTCCTGATGCTGAAAAATGGCTTAATGGCTGTTTTGACTGGAAATTCAATGAAGGCTGGTCTCTGACCTTTGCACAGTACTGTATGCATACACTGATCAGGCATAACATTATGACCACCTCCTTGTTTCTACGCTCGTTGTCCATTTTATCAGCTCCACTTACTATATAGGTGCACTTTGTAGTTCTACAATTACAGACTGTAGTCCATCTGTTTCTCTGCATACTTTTTTAGCCCCCTTTTACCCTGTTCTTCAGTGGTCAGGACCCCCATGGACCCTCACAGAGCAGGTACTATTTGGGTGGTGGATCATTCTCAGCACTGCACTAGCACTGATGTGGTGGTGGTGTGTTAGTGTGTGTTGCGCTGGTATGAGTGGATCAGACACAGCAGTGCTGCTGGAGTTTTTAAACACCTCAGTGTCACTGCTGGACTGAGAATAGTCCACCAACTAAAAATATCCAGCCAACAGCGTCCTGTGGGCAGCGTCCTGTGACCACTGATGAAGGACTAGAGGATGACCAACACAAACTGTGCAGCAGCAGATCAGCTATCGTCTCTGACTTTACATCTACAAGGTGGACCAACAATGTAATAGAGTGGACAGTGAGTGGACACTGAGGTGTTTAAAAACTCCAGCAGCACTGCTGTGTCTGATCCACTCGCACCAGTGCAACACACACTAACACACCACCATCACGTCAGTGTTACTGCAGTGCTGAGAATGATCCACCACCCAAATAGTACCTGCTCTGTGAGGGTCCATGGGGGTCCTGTCCACTGAAGAACAGCGTAAAAGGGGGCTAACAAAGTATACAGAGAAACAGATGGACTATAGTCTGTAACTGTAGAACTACAAAGTGCACCTATATAGTAAGTGGAGCTGATAAAATGGACAATGAGCGTAGAAGCAAGGAGGTGGTCATAATGTTATGCCTGATCAGTGTATATCATTTTATTTTGCACTAGTATGTCTGTAAATACTATCTTTATGTGTTTATATCATCTTTGGCCCTATTGTCTTTGTTTTTGTTTATTTATGTCCTTGCCATCAATTCTAGAGCTGCTAAATGGTTCTTCATTGTTCTTAAACTATGACAAGAGTGCCTTGTTTGCATGTCATTTCCAGATTCCACTACACAAAGACAAGGAGCAGAGGACGGCGACAACACTGTTCCAGGACATTATATCTAAGAAGAGCATGAGCACAAAGTTTTGAAAATACTGGACCTTAATGTGAGTGAAATAAGTGGCTCATAGTTCCATGCCGGCTGACGTCATTATGATTAGAGCTGGGCAACATGATGATATGCTATTGTTATCATGATATATTATGTTATGACACTCTTTTGCGAGTATGTGCTCGGTGTGAGCAGCCCAATATGACATCATCTTATTTTAATAATTTATTGATTTTTTCTCCTGGTCCTTCTTAGTTCAATTCTGCAAACATTTAACACTCAGAGTTTTTCGGCCTTTTTTAAAATGTGGCTAATTAAAGATATTACTGTTTTGTCTCTTTACACATACAATGTCAGCAGAGCACACCAGGCCTGCTCCGATGTGGCTGTCCAGATACAATTTCAATAAAGTGGCCACTTTATCAGAAACCCTCCCATCTTCCCCACCTGTTATCCATCCTCTAGTCCTTGTTGAACCTGTCCTAACGAGCCAGGCCCTGCAAGTTGATCAAGTTCTGAGACTGGAAGGGCATTCAAACTTTCACACACGCCCCACAATACCTCTATTATTCTTTTTTAATAGTCTGCTGTAGAGATTGTTTACTCCTTTTCACTTCAACAATCAACAAAATATGGGATTTGGCCAGAGGTGCTAAAACAACTGGTAGGTGGAGCTCATAAAGTGGACAGAGAGTGGAAGTACAGGGTACATTTTTCCTAGAAATATGTTAATTTAATCTCTTAATAAATACAGTCATATATCACTGGATGACTATAGTGGCCTCACGCATTTAAGGTTGTTGCTGGAGTGATGGAGCTCCATCCAATACCTTTGGTATGAGTTAGACCTTACCTGACCCCACTAATGGTCAGTCAAATCCTCACTGCAGCGTTCGAACATCTAGTGTGAAGCCTTCCCAGAAGAGTAGAGGCTGTTACTGCAGAAAAAGAGGTCAAACTCACTATTTATACCCTGTCTGTCGAAGGTCCACACACTGCTGTATGCAAAAATAAAGCAAGAAAAACTTGTGAAGTCGACAAGTTTTGGTTTGTATTCAGTGCATGTTGAATAGTGCTTTGTATATCAAACACAAAAATCCAGAAATCCAATTCAGACAAGACAGTAAGTGGCTTATTGTTGATATGTAAAGTACAATAAATGGGTATTTAAATTAAACATGGCATGGATATTAATTAGTGTTCTAGTCCAAACCAGGGTAACGCATTTAAAGGGCCCATATCCTACATTTTTCTTGTTTTATCTATTTTTCTGAGGTCCATTTACAACATTTTTGTGTTTTTTATGTACCAAATAGAGTCATTTTCAATTCCGTTTCCATTTTCCAATCTTTCTTTATCCCTAAGGCTGGCTTTACAAGGTGAAGCTTTCATGCAACTAGTTGCATGTTATGAATTGCCTGCAACATGCAACTAGTTGCATGAAAATTTCCATGCAATTTGAGACACAGTTGTGAAACTTGTTACACAAAGCATTTTAAAAACAAAGTTGCATGCAACACATGCAATTACTCCACTAGCTTAACCACATTAGCAGCTCATTTTGTTTGTTTCATTCTCACTATAAAGTTACCCTGCTCTCATTGCTGTTCTTTGCTTTAAATCTATGTATACGTCCTTCATCTATCCATCTACCATCTCTTACTATAAATTTGAGTGTTTTATTTGTTGTGTGTATGTTAAAACGTTGAAAATTAATGTTTAAGTAGCCATTACAGTTATAGGCATTGATGTCTTATCTGTTTCCTGAAACTTGTGTTGCTTGCAACTGTTGCAGCTGAGTTTCGAATAAGTTGAAGGACGCTTTACATTATGCAACTTAAGGGCAACTTAGTTTTGTGTAGGTTTCATGCAACTTAAGTTGCATGAAAGTTTCAGCATGCAAAGCCAGCCTTGAGATTAAACAAGACTTACATATGTAAAGGAGCTCTGTTCTGATTGGCAGTTCTCGTTCAGAAAGCAGCCCAGGCCGAAACACTCCTTATAACTTCAGCGTGAATGGCCGGAAATTTGTAAATAGGTTGTTTTCTGTGACAGCGCAAAAACAGTGAATTAAAAATGGGCTGTTTTATCAACTTGGCTTTCACATAGTAGCTGTATGGATTGACCTGGGAGTGGACATTTTGAAACCTCGACAGCGTTTATATACTACATCAAACTCATTTCAAAAAAGTGAGCATTTTTTTCAAAGATATGGGCCCTTAAAAAAAAAACAGAGACACAAATATCTATACGGGTTGAAACATGAGTCCAAATGCTCCTGATAAAGCATCTGATGGTCTTCTCTCTTCGATCTGAAGGATTTATGTGCATTGAGTGGAAGAAAGCTAGCATGATCTAACCAGGCGCGCTACCGTACTGCATAGGCAATTACAGCTTCGTCTCATTTCCCTGCCCATTAGAGCTGCTCATTAGTTCTTCAGTGCTCACAGGGATTAGAGGGGCTTCGAAGGCTCATAAAGTGAGTTAAGAGACAGCACGTGTGCATCAGTCCGTGAGAACGTGAACAAGTCTCTGAGTAAGTCCGACAGAGGATTCGTAGTGTGATCAGTTTAGAGTGCGCGAAGTGTGCACGCGTATGTTCCCACCTAAAGCCACGTATTAAAGCCAGCACAGAATCACTACTCAGCTTCACATTCAACGAAATAATACCAAAGCCGGTGCGCTTTTAGTTACAGAGATAATCAGATAAACAGACCTTTAAATAAACTGACCTTTAGAATAAAGGCCTGCGTTCGTATGTTCACAACGGTGTGGTTAGTAACAGGTGAGTTCCTTTTCGGAGGCTGGTATTGTTGTAAATCACAAATTAAAACAAGGTCCCGTTATTAGTAAAGGATATGACATCGTGAGCAGCACTCAGTCGTACAGAGATCTCTGAAGTCGTGTCGTCATTCTGTAGTCCGCCTTATAAGGACACGCACATATTAGGAAGTTCAAGCTGTTTTTCTCTACGGAAAAAAGGAACAGCGTTTTCGAAAAAAGTGCCACTGTTGCATCCTGTTCAAGGTTGATATGTTGTGTTTTGTGTACATTTTTCTCTCAAATGTCAGGGGACGCTCTGAATTACGAGGCTGTTAAGAAGTCAAAATATGAACGCTGCTACATACATGCTACCAACAAAGCTAACACTCCTGTACAAAAGGCCCAAAAAAAGTGCAATCTTGAGTCTAAAATCCACTTTAATCATTTTTCCTGCCTGTATAATATACCAAAAACTATTTCTAGCATCACTTGTTCAATTTTAGCCATGAAAAACATTCTTCCTCACATTATAACAACACTTAGCATGTTACACCAACTTTGACCAGTAGGGGGGCAGCTGTTTTTCCTCCCCTTATCCTTTGAGAACCAGGTGAAAAAAATATGGCATAGCAAGTTAATTGTTTACCACTTTGCTCCCTAGTGATTTTTTTTACCTGGTCCCTGAAAGGCAAGGGAAAAAAAGCGACTTCGGCCTCGTAAATAATCAAACGCTGAGAGACGTTTTACAAGGAACTGTTCTACTTTTGAGGAAAAGTTTCCTGCTGGAGACGTGAGAAAAGCAGCTATGGCTGAGCTAAAGCTTAAAGCAGAGCAAAGTAATTCTGTGTTTTCATTTATATTAGATTTTTAGCCTGTACTAGTACATCAGCACATACTGAGACACATTTACAGACCAGATGGTTAAATGGAAATAAAATGTTGTGGCTGCCAAGGTGGTTTGATTTTTGTTGAAAGGACAAAACCAGGCAATCATTTTTAGATATCAACCAGTCCTTAAACACTGGTCAAAGTTTGCTGTTGTGTCTGGGGTATTTTGATAAAGTTGCCAGTATTATTATGATAAATTTGTGCTGGCTTGAATCATGCATGTAGCAATATTCCTATTTCGACTACTTAATGGCCTCATGATTAAAGTGACACAGAGAAATAAGGTATGTACACTCTTAAAAAGATGATTTTTAAGGTTCTTTTGTAAAAATAATGGTTATATATAGAACCATCAACACTCAAAGAACCATTTGTATGTTTAAAGGTTTCTTTGCATTTCTTTGCACGGTTCTTAGGATTGATGGAGAATGTTGTAAATGGTTCTATATAGCACCAAAAAGGGTTCTTCTACTGTAACTTGACTAAGCTTGATGCCATGACAAACCCTTTTTGGTGCCATATAGAACCATTTTCAAAAATGTTCTACACAGAACCATATACAACACATTCTGAACAACTATTTCACCCTGCAAAAAACCCTTTAAACATACAAATGGTGTTCATTGTTCTATATAGCACCACTGTCTTTACTAAAGAACCCTTAAAGAACCATCTTTTTTAAGACTGTAGGACAAAACATAATGGATTTAAAGTTAACAACAGTAATTTTTGACATAAACAAAACAAGCTTAGACCCCGGGCACATCGGGATACTACACGATGACGACACGTCCTCTGAGGACTCCCAGACCAACACACGCATATATATGAACGTTACATACGGTGGTCCTGCATTTGAAACACTAAAGGGGGACGGGACCAACATCACATACAGGGTTATAAACTCTCCCCAGCTCAGGACAGTCCGACCGGACATGCCGTGTAAATACGTACGACTATATACACTACCACATCACTGACCGCCCCTCCCCCACCCACCACCGTCATCCAACATCGGGACGGTCCTGCCGGTGGTCACCAAGACGGTGGCCTCTTGCAGTGTGGACATGCTTCCCGCTGCAGGTTTGGCTCACTTCAGGAGAGAAATGTCATCTGCGAAGTTGCCGGCGCCCAGCGGGTGCAGACAGCGGGCGAAGCGCCACTGGCACACCATCAGGCAGAGGGGCAACATGAACAGGGCGCAGATTCCGGCCATGATGTAGGCGATGGTCATCAGCGTGGACTCGTCCGTCTGCGGGATGTTGTAGCCGCAGTCCTCCAGCTCCACGCCGTGGAAGGGACCCTCCACCGAGGCTGTGCGGAACTCGTCATGAACTGGGGAGACATGGTTACTGTATCATCACTGTCCTGACAAAAACCTTGTATCTCAGAAGTTTTACAGGAGACTTCAAGTGCTCTCAAAGGGAAACTCCACCGATTTTTCAAAATTCCTGCATAATTAAATGGTTAAGATGTAAACAGAGTGGTTCAAAGTGGTTTGGTGTGAAACGTTTTATAATGATCAACATTCCATATAAAAACTCAGAGGGTTCACTGGTGATTTTGGATGGTAAAATGTCTATATTTGTGTTACATTTGTGTTGGTAAGTTTCTCCACAACAAAATATTTCACATCAAACCACTCTGAATGACTTAGTTCACATTTCACTGATTTAATTATGCACACTTTTTGAAAAATCAGTGGAATTCCCTTCAGACTTTGATTGGAAAAATGTTTTTTGGACCATTTCTTTTGGTCTATTCACTGCAAATTGTTGAGACAAAACCCTCAACTCTCAGAAGTGGAAGCTTATCAGGAACGTTCTTAACTGTAACATACATTTAGACAGGTATTTTAAGAAAACTGCTTTTATTTCGCATCTAAACAAATAAATAAAGCATATATTTTTGCAACTACACTCTTAAAGAAGATGGTTCTTCAAAAGTCTTTAGTAAAAACAATGGCTCTCTATAGAACCATGAACACTAAAAGAACCATACGCGTGCTTAAATGATTCTTTGCCTAGTGAAACAGTTCTTCAGATGAATGGCACAGAACCTTTTTGAAAAGGGTTCTATCTAGCACTAAAAAGGGTTCTTCTATTGTTGCAAGCTTGACACTTTAACAATAGTAGAACCCTTTTAGGTCCTATAAAGAACCATGTACAACACACTCTCTTCACTCTATGCTGTTGTGTTCTGGGGCAGCGGCATTAACAAAAGTACTCTGAACAAAATAAACAAACTTATTAGGAAGGCTGGCTCTGTTGTTGGAGTCAAGCTGGACTCTTTGGAGGTTGTGGCAGAACAGAGCGGCTCAACAAGCTGTTAGCCATCTTGGACAACACCTGACAGCCCCTGCATGCTACACTGGATAAACAGAGAAGCTCATTCAGTGTCAGACTGGTACAGCTGCGCTGTGTTAAAGAGGCCCTGTGAGATCTTTCTTAGCCACTGATATACAGCTCTACAATGAGTCTCCTTACTGCAGAGACGGGACTGATCTCCTGCTGTCTGAACTGAGCTGAACCACATCACTGTATCTCCTCTCCGATTACTACACACTGTGCAATATATCATAACTACTACTGTAATGACACTCACTGCGCACTGTACACTGTAATATTGCTGCAACTCCTAGTTAGTTATGTCTATAATGATTGTGCTTTTAGACCTCACACCACTCAGTGCCTGCTATCATGTAAATACAAGAACTGTCTTATATGCCATGTAAATATGCAAATAGATATATTTTATTTCTACTCTTATACTCAACTTATGTCTATTTTTATTTCTATTTTTTATGTTCTGCACAGTATATGAAAGTGTATGTGAAATGATATGTGTTGCTACTGAAGCTTCTCTTTGGGATTAATTTCGTTCGTTTGTTCATTCTTTTTTGTCTGTCTGTCTATCTATCTATCTATATACATCTGAAGAAACATTTCACCATGCAATAACCATTTGAGCATGCATGTTTTTTTTTTTTGTGTTCATGGTTCTGTATAGAACCATTGTCTTTACTAAAGAACCCTTGAAGCACCATCTTTTTTAAGAGTATACGCAAGGGTGATAAAATATTAATGACAGTTAATGATAATCAGAAAACTGATCATTTGTGATTGAGATATTTTCAAAAAACTGTTATGTGGTTCCGACTCAGTCCGGCAATCGCAGCAATAGCTTCAGTGCACAAGCATGCACTGCGTGGCTTGTACATACTATAAGTAGAGGGAGAAGAAAGCTATGTTCCTATGGTCCTATGTTTCCAAATGGAACAACTTTCCAATCTCCCATAAAACAATAACATAACCGAACTGAGTGTGACAGCAAAATATGACTGAAACAAATATTGAGTTACACATTAAAACATGAACTGTCTCTTCGTTACCGTGACATGTGCTGACAGCAAAGCCGATGCGTTTGCGTTCGCGGTCGAACACGACGTAGAAGCCCTCCATGATGACAGCGCCCATGACGGTGCCGGTGCTGGACTGAGACACGGCAAATTTGTAGCAGTCTTCCTGCGCCGAAGCTACGTCCTCTACAGGCCGTAGATATTGCTGCAGAGAGCAGAGAGAGACATGGAGCACACATTAGCTCAACAAACACCAACACACACACGGACTGTCCAAAAGTATCTGGACGTCCTTTATAATGAGTGAATTCAGCTACTTTAAGGTCACCCATTTCTGACAGCTTGTATAATCTCCATTGAAAAGCACTGACCAATAGAATGAGATGCTCTAAAGCAGCTGCACATGATCATAAGGTCACCGTGCCCAGCTCCAAGCGTGGGCTAGAGGGGTATAAAGCCCCCCAGCATTGGGCTGTGGAGCAGTGGAACTGTGTTCTCTGGACTGATGGAGCTCCATTCAGCAGCACTGCTGTGCCTGATCCACTCAGACCAGCACAACATACACCTACACAGCACCACCACGTCAGTGTTACTGCAGTGCTGAGAATGATCCACCACCCAAATAGTACCTGCTCTGGGAGGGTCCAAGGGGGTCCTGACCACGGAAGAACAGCGTAAAAGGGGGCTAACAAAGTATGCAGAGAAACAGATGGACTACAGTCTGTAACTGTAGAACTACAAAGTGCACCTATATAGTAAGTGGAGCTGATAAAATGGACAATGAGCGTAGAAACAAGGAGATGGTCATAATGTTATGCCTGATCGGTGTATAGTGTTCCAAAATACATTACAGACCACTTTCAAGAAATGTCTTATTTTATGATATATGTTGTTAGGAGTGAGCTTTAAATTTGTTAACATAACATTAATGTTAGATCATAATTAATATAATTAATAAAAATGCGTTTTTTATTACACATCATCTGTTATTCTTTTCAAAAGTATCAATGTTATAATAATATGCCACATTATGTACATATATATGTATGTCTGTATATGTAGTAAAAGCATGCCCCATATGTATTGTTTATGTCTAAGTACCTACAAATAATAACACGGCCCATTTGTATTATATATGTTCTAATAATATGTACTGTTGTGACAAACTTTGTATCTCAATTTTGGACCTTTTTTTTTTACATTGTTTGAAATTGCCAGCTGAAGTTCACATTGTGTCAAGTTTTCATGATGAACAGGCCAATAGGAACGGTCCAACATGACTTGGAATAAATCATTTCTCCATAAACTTTCATTAAAGGTTTAGAACGTTTTTTCCTTCTCCTGTAAAGTGACCTTTCTGGAAATACGAGAGAGACAGGAGATTTTGCTCCGACAGTGATGAAACGTAAGTGCTTATATGTAACACATATAAGTAACACATGAGCTGCGTATGTATCACTGGATTTACTACAGTCTGAAAACGTCTGAAAAGACGCAGACGCACCTGGGGCAGGATGGAGATGCGGAAGGACTGGTTGCGGTTCTCGCTCATCAGGTAGAGAGAGATGACGGGGAAGATGTGCCAGGGGGTGGTGCCAGCCTGCCAGCACACCAACTGCTCCCCCAGCCAAAAACCAGAGGGAAACTGCTCCGTCTGCACAACACAGACACAGAGAGAGAGAGAGCAAGAGAGAGAGAGAGAGAGAGAGAGAGAGAGCAGAAGACAAAGTGAAGGACGGATAAAGGCTTGCTAAGACTTTGAATAAAGTTCACCAATCATGTCCAGAGCTGTTTTCTCCCAGTATTAAAGTGATGGTTTGGTGAAAAATCAAATGTGCACACTTTTATGCCCATTACCCAAAATGTACTTGATTAGCCAAGAGAATTTTATAGACTTCATTCAATTTTTGTCATTTCCATCAAGTCTTTTTTATTTGATGAGAGAAATTCACATAGAAATACATAAATGGAAACGCAGCCACAGGCGAAACCCAACTTCCTGTTTGTATAAATACGGGTGAACTACTTGGTGACCCAGTTATGGCCTACTTTAGAACCGCAAACTCCAGAAAAGACCAGAGGAAGAATAAAACAGCGACAAGGCTCTACCTGGGGACCACGCCGAAGTGCTGAAGCTGCAAAGCTTAAAAGGAAGCTCGTTTTTCTCTGTCACAGGCAGCGAGGGGAGAGGAGCAAAGGCCAAGAAAGAAAAGATACTGACCGATGAAGCTGCTTCAATGGCCTTTACAGCTGCCTGGAACACTTTGCGAGGAAGCCGCAGGTTTGTGGTGCCACTGTCCACGATGCTTTTATCGTAGTTATACTGTCAGAGACGGACGCAGAGAGATGAGATTACACTCGCTACAAGTCACAGCATCCTGTTCGTTCAGTCACACTGCTGTTACAATAACAAAGCAAGTCTTGAGAATAGGAGCTATTAGTTCATAAACACCTTCAGCAAACGTTCCTATACACAGAATAGGAGATATTAGTCCATAAACAACCTCAATAAATGCTCCTATATGCTAGAATCGGAGATATTAGTCCATAAACAATCTCAATAGATGCCCCATACACTAAAATAGTAGATATTATTCCATAAGGACCTCAATATAAGATCCTATGAACTAGACCAGGAAATATTCATCCATAAACAAACTCAGTAAATGCTCCTATGCTAGAATAGTAAACATTAGTCCATAAACAACCTCAATGAACACGCCTATAAAGTACAATAGGACATATTAGTCCATAAACAAACTCAATAAATGCTCCTATATGCTAAAATAGGGGATGATGATCCATAGAGACCTCTGAAAATCCATCTATGAACTATGTTAGGAGATATTAGTCCATGAAGACCTCAATAAGTGCTCCTATATGCTTGAATGGGAGATGTTAGTCCATAAATGACCCTATTAAATGCTCCTATAATAGGAGGTATTAGTGCATAAACAGTTAAATAAACACTCCCATAAACTAGATTAGGAGATATTAGTCCATAAAGACCTCAATAAACACTCCTAAAAAATAGAATAGGAAATATTAGTCCATAAAAACCTCAATAAACGCTCATATAAACTAGACTAGAAGATATTAGTCCATAAAGACCTTGGAAAGTCTACCTATATACTATGTTAGGAGATATTAGTCCATAAAGACCTCAATAAACGCTCATATAAACTAGAATAGGAGATATTAGTCCATAAAGACCTCAATAAATGCTCCTATAAACTAGATTAGAAGATATTAGTCCATGAAGACCTCAGAAAGTCCACCTATAAGCTATGCTAGGAGATATTAGTCCATAAAGACCCCAATAAACACTCTCATAAACTAGATTAGGAGATATTACAGTAATATCCTTGATTTCAGTAGAACTCGATGAGCAGAGATAAAATAAAATAAATAAAATGCTCTCTCACTTTCGTACCTCTTTACAATCCATGTTGAGATCCTGTCCGTTGACTTCAATGCGCACGATGATGACCTCATAGTACCACTCTCTGCGTATTGGAGTGTACCACACGTCTCCTACGTAAAGGGAAGGGTCGATCCCTCCAATGATCTGTAAGGTTTACAGCATATCATCTTCAGCTTCCACCACTCAATTTCATCAAACTTATATAAAAACTTACATCTTTTACAGGAACGCGTCACTAAGTCATACACTCTGTGCTAGATAATGTCCTCGTACCATACTGCCCCCTACAGTCGCACTGCCCAGGCTGTAGTTCTGGGTGAAGCCGGCTCCACACAGCTGCAGGGAGAAGAGGTTGGGTACACTGGTCTGCCTCACCAGAGAATCAAAGAAGGGCTCGAGGGTCTCATCAGGCTGGGAGGAGAGGAGAGAAGAGAAGAGAAGGGACAAAAAGAGAAGTGGAAAAAAAGACAAAAATAGAAGATGAGACAAAAAGAGAACAAAAGAGAAAAACGAGACAAAAAAGAAGTGAGAAAAGGAACAAAAAGAGAAGAAAAAGGACAAAAAGAGAAGAGACAAAAAGAGAAGAGACAAAAAGAGAAGATAAGAGACAAAAAGAGAAGATAATAAAACAGAAAAAAAGAGAGAAACAGAGAAGACAAAAAGAGAAGAGACAAAAAGGACAAAAAGAGAAGAGATAAAAAGAGAAGGTTAAAGCGCCCTGAGCTGACAGTGCCCTGAAGTGACTGACTGACCCTGGCGATTTCGGCGTAGGCCAGTCCCAGAATGCCCTCCCAGTTGGAGCCGTTGATGAAGAAGCGGTCTGACTGGGTGATGGCGGCGATGTTGGCGCGCAGCGACACATTGGGGCCGTGAGGCACTGACACCAGATCGGTCCCCAGCTCCCCCTCCCAGCGGCCCTGCGTATATGGCACGTACACGCTCCGGCCCAGATCCCTGTACGACGTGGACCTAAAACGGATCGGAAATCGGAAAATAAACATCACCGCACAACAGAATATTACAGGAACTGACTATGAGTAGAGACTTTTCAGGATATAACAAGTTTTTGCCAGGAATAACAGCTGATGTATAACAGAAAATACAGTTTATTTCTCTAATACAAGTATTATTTATAACGTAGCACTGATTTATCTGCTTTGTGTAACAACGTGTGTCACTCCAAACAACGCAGATCACAGAAAAAAGGGAAAGTCTGGCTCCAGGGCCAAATGATGCCCGTGGACGGATTTTAATTGGCCCCTGGCTTCTGTTTCAGAGTGTGTTATAAGAGGCCCACCAGCCAGTATGCAGCAGTTCTTCCTTTCACCTGACAGTGGCAGTAGTGCTGTGAAATTACAGTGTAAGGTGCCGCACTGTGGTAACAAAGTTAGCTAGAGTTTAAGATATAAGATTTATAGAAGAGGTTTTGTTCTGACAGTGATGATATTCACTTGCCACTTCATCAGTTAGAGACTGTAGCTCATCAGGTTGCGTTAGCCGTCTGCTAGCCCTTCATCAGTGTTCAGTTTCTGAACACAGAGCTCCTCTTGGCTGTGTATCGCCAAAGCAAAGCAGACACACCAAATTGAAAGTATATTTTACCGTACAGAAAAATAAAGGAGATATCATTGACTGGGCAGCTCCTCTGCTTCGATTGTGCTTAAGGTAAAGAGGAAAAAGCAACGTTACGGCACAAGGTGGCAATTTACTTTTACAACCGTGACCTTTCTGCCAACGGCAGGCTGTTTTTCAGGCGGTACTTACAGAGAACGATGGTAGTATCTGCGCAGAAATGGATGAGCTGCAGCTCCTACTGCAAAATTACTGCTCCCTGTATCAACCAGGATGTTCAACTGCAACACAAGCACACAAATCAGTTCTGATTAATTGTAAAAATTATTTTTTGCAACAGCTTATAAAATGTGTGGTTTTTCATCAAAAAGTGCTCCTTGTTTCACCCACAACTTCTCTCAGTGCTGGGTAGAGGTGGGCATAAATTGGCAAAAATTAAACGGGACGGCACTGCTGTGTCTGATCCACTCAGACCAGCACAACACACACTAACACACCACCACCACGTCAGTGTCACTGCAGTGCTGAGAATGATCCACCACCCAAATTGTACCTGCTCTGTGAGGATCCATGGGGGTCCTGTCCACTGAAGAACAGCGTAAAAGGGGGCTAACAAAGTATGCAGAGAAACAGATGGACTACAGTCTGTAATTGTAGAACTACAAAGTGCACCTATATAGTAAGTGGAGCTGATAAAATGGACAATGAGCGTAGAAACAAGGAGGTGGTCATAATGTTATGCCTGATTGGTGTATCGTGATGTAATTTATCGCGATAATGATGAACACTGTCATATTGCCCAGCTCTAGTGTTCAGTCAAACCGATAACATTCAATATCAGAATGTTTTCAGAATGTATCGGATGATATTTAAGGTAGCATTAATAAAGTTATTGACATTACCTGTCATAGCTAGTTTAGAAGACTGTTTTGTTGTTTTCTTCTCTTAAAAAGGAAATATTATGCAGTACTGTAATCAATAATCAGACAGAAACTCATTTACAGAAAGGAAACTTTCTGTTTATTCAGTTTGTTTATAGATTTTAAACTGTTTCTGAACAATATGAAGCTCCCAGTAAAACGACCCTCACTTCTGTTAACTGCCAGTTTCTGGATATCGTGAGTACAGAAAATAGAACAGAAACAAAATAAAAACAAACTGCTTGGCAACAGGAGCATCACTGTTTTATAGACATTTCATAACGGATATAAAGGGTGTAGTACTCATCCATCAAATACATCGCTAAAATTGAAAAACAACATATAGACAATATACCGTCCAGCAATAATATACCACAGTGTCAGTAAAGTAAATATCAAACAGAGTCGTTCAGAGTAGTTTGGTGTGAAATGCTCTGTTCTAGGGGAAACTTACAGAGTCAGAATTGTTCACAGTGGTGGTGATAGGAACCAAACGTCCAGCTCCCTCACAGAAAGTTACTACATGGAATGGTTATGAATTCACTGCCCGATGTCTTGCCCTGCAATGGACTAGTGACCTCTCCAGGGCGTTTCCTGCCTTCCACCCAATGACTGCTGGGATAGGCTCCAGCAACCCCGCGACCCAGAAGGATAAGCGGCTTAGAAAGTGTGTGTGTGTGTGTGTGTGTGTGTGTGTGTGTGAGTGTGTGTGTGTGTGTGCCTGATGTCTGAGACACTGTTTTATGGTAGCTTTGGAGCCTAAAACATATTTTTAAATCTATTCATGGTGGAGGGATACAGACAGGGTGTTGTGAGTTAAAATAACCCCCCTAAAATGTATTATTTCATATTATCCACTATTTTACCATCATCAACATTCCATATTAACTCAGAAGACTTGTGTAGGTTCACTGGTGATTTTGAATAGTAAATAAAATGGCTATATTGGTGTTGTAGTCATGGCGACCCTTGGTTCCTATCACCACCACTGTAAAGACATCTGAACCATTTCACACCAAACCACTCTGAATCACTCTGTTTACATCTCACACACTGAATTATGCAGAGAATTTAGAGAAATCGGTGGAATTCCCCTTTAATGTTTGTGAAATCTGTATTTGGGGGGTCTTTCACAGTGATTGTCCTTGCAACTCCAGGCTCCAAGCAAGGGTATTTAAAGAGCAGATGTATTATTGATCATCCTCCTGCATGCCACCAGAGACAGTCCGCCTGCCTGCTAGACTCACTGACTGGGCAAAATGTGATACACAACCAGAGAGAGAGAGAGAGAGAGAGATGTGACAGGCAGCAGCTCTCAGACAGTAGTAGCCTGAATGGAGCGCTCCTTACTCCACCCCTCTCTTGCCTGCAGAAATCTCAATGTAATGTTGAATCAATGCATTTTCAATCATCCACTCAGCTGCGGCTGCACGATGTGGACAAAATACAATTAATGTGATTCTGTTACTACTTATTGTGATAGTGGGAATAGCAATGAGAGGCACAGACTGGCTGCCTATCTGGATTAAAGAGCCCTAAAATCTTAAAAAATAGCCCATAATCTTGGCGGTACTGATGGACTCTGATTTTAGTTTTATCAGTCGTGTCAGAGCAGTTACTAAATCAGCTTTTTATCACCTTAAGAACATCAACAAGATCAGAGATGTTCAGACTAAAGCAGAGCTGGAGAAATTCATCCACACCTTTATTTCTAGCGGCGTTGATCACTGTAATGGTCTCCGAACTGGACTTCCAAAAAAAGACCATCAAACAGCTTCAGCTCATTCAGAATGCAGCTGCCAGAGTCTCACTAGGAGCAAAAGAAGAAACACCCCCTACCCAAACTCTTAAATCCTTACACCGGCTACCAGTCTGTTCCAGAATAGACTTTAAGGTGCTATTACTGCTCTATAAACGTCTTAATGGTGCAGGAGCAGGCAAATTACTCAGTAATTGCATGAAATATATGTAATTTATTTTTCCATAAAAGTTCCCCTCAAATTAACAAAACATGTGTTTTATGATCATACACATATTGCTATATACTTATAATTTACTGCTGAAAGCCAAAAATCTTAGTTTATAGCTCAGATTTGTGGAAAAACGGGTCGACTTTCAGTAGAAAAAAAATGTGAGTTCAGCTTCTTTTATTATAAAGTTTCAAAATTACATCACCCATCTATTTGACTAGGAAAGAAGACAGTTACAACTCTCATATGACACCCACCTTTTGAAAGAAGCTCATGAAATATGAACGTTATGAAGTAAAGAATATGACGAAGTGCGTTTTGGAACCACTGGTGGTTCCAAGGAGTTAAAAAAAGGTTCATTTAATGATTTTCTCTTTTAAATGTATTGTTTGAATTGTGTTTTAATCAAGCTTTTAATGCTGTTTTTAATTCATTTTATTTATCATTTATTTACTTTTACATTCATTTACTTTACTTTTTTTTTAAACAACTCTGTATTTTCTGACTCTGTAAAGCACTTTGCATGACAGCAGCGTATGAAAGGTGCTGTATAAATAAACTTGCCTTGCCTTGTGATACACTTTACAGTATATTAAAAGCACATTCATCAATAATGTGACCCTCTTTCACAATAGCCATAAAATCCAATAATGTTTGATGGAAACCACTGCTCTAGCCCACGCTTGGCATTGGTCATGGTGACCTTGCTCCAGATGGTCCCATTTTATTTGTCAGTGCTTTTCTATAGAGATTATATAAGCTGTGTCAGCAACGGGTGACCTTAAAGTAGCTGAACTCACTCATTAGCTACTTTCAGACAGTTGTGTGTGGGTATTTTAATATCGTAGTTTCCTGCTGGAGCTCTTCCGATGCTGCCCCCCCCCAAAACACATCAGTTAAGTACTGCTGACTCCGCTCGTGTCTCTGCCTCTCAGTAACTGCTCTGGTCATTGATCCTTCCCTCAGGCTTCCTGCCCTTTCTGCCCGCTAAATCCGGGCCAGCAGCCTGCATCCTGCCACTCTGGCAGCCGACCACACTCATACACTTCCTGTGGCTTCCTCCAATCTGTGCACCTTCAGATCCTGGAAACCAGCCACGCAATTCTTGGGATTTTCTGTTCACTTGTTTTCACATCACTCGGTTCTGGAAACGCTTTCCAACTTCATTCTAGCTTTGGGAATGCTATGCGAAAAGGTGGGTGACATGGCAACAAGAACTATAAGCACAATTATTCTTTTACTCAACATTTGCAAAAATAAAATGTTTAACAAGGAAAAGGAAACAAATAATATGGCCTTATCATAAGGAGGTTGTGAGTTCAATCCCCAATGATGCCACAACCATTTGTGGCCAGAAGACTAAGACATCCTCATTGTCCTTTCGCTCTCTCCCTCTACAGAGAACACATTTCTGCACATTTTAACCCCTTAAATGACCAGGGCCAGCCAGCAGGCCCAAAGTTTCATTACACACTTCTATAACCTAAGAATAGCTCAGCCAGTTTGCACTGAAGTCCCTGTAGTTACTGCATAATAAGCCATAGGCCCAATCCCATTTCTTATTTTTACTCCTACCCCTTGTTTTTGAGTGTCACCCTAACCCCTTGGAACTGAGTACAAAGGATGAGTGGTTGAAATCTTGCCCTACGAAATGTGACCCTCAAATAAAACATTACTTCATTAACAGCTACTAGCGGTGCTCTGTAGGCGACCCTGCCAGTCTGCAGTGACAGCAGAGGAGGGTAAAGTTCAGCTCCTCACTGCTGGGCTTTAGTTGCATTTAGGGCATCATATGCCTTCAAAGAGGGGGGCAATTATTTATTATCGCCCACCCCTAATTCTTCAGTGATATGAAGCTGAAGTCAGATATTCACCAGATTCTTGTTAGAATTTTCCTGTTCCACCTTAAATGGTGCAGCAATTACATTCTGGTGCTTCAGGCGCCAGAACTCCTGGACTATTTAAGGTGGAACAGGAAAGTTAGCTAGCTAGCTACCGAGACAACAGCATGCTATTAGCGATTTTTTTATGCTTATTATGAAGAAAATGACCATAATACACTGAAACAACATTCAATTTTTGAACTGAGAAAATTCTTACATTTGTGGGACTTTTCTGCTCCATCTTGCTGGGTTTTTCTTTTTTTTCTCAAAACATTCTGTTTGGAGTCTCTGAAAAACCTCAGTTTGGAGGGCCATGTAGCCCTAACACTTCACCCTACCCCTCTATCTCAACAAAAATAGGGACACCCTACCCCTAGACGGGAACGTGCAAAACAGAGGGCTAAGTGGTGGGGGCGTGGAGTGAAATGGGATTGAGCCTTAGTGTGTAATAAGCCTGAGAATTTACGGGGTTGATGCACAATTTCTGTTCATTTGTTGATTTTAATTTAACATGCTGGGGGCAGAGGTGTAACCAAGGGGTGGCCAGTGCCATCCTAGCATAAAGTATGGTCACCCTTCTGACCACCTCAGTTATGCAAAGTGTTGCTACAAGCTTGACCAAAGCAGAACCCTTTTTGGTGCTTTATAGAACAGGGTTTCTCAACCACTGGGCCACGGACCACAAGTTGGCCGCAAAGCACCCATTGGTGAGGGGAGCCAATGGTCCATAGTGGGCCGTTGATGACACTTTGTCATAAAAATCAATGGAAAAATGTCTGATTTAACAATAATAAAGAAATATTAAATGTTTTCAAAGTCCTGCAAAAAGAGTGCAGCTTCATCAGTTTTTTGATCCTTGCCTCTAGGAAACACTCTCCCCCTGACATTCCACTCAATCTACTACCATTCTGCCTGATTTCTAGAATAAAACAAGCTTATTGCTGCTGTTGGAAGAAAACCTCCAAAATGATAACTTTACTTTTTTTTTACATTGTGTGCAAATTTCATGATGAATGCATTAAAAGAAACAGCCTAGAATTACTTGGAAAAAACTCTGGTTCCATTGACTTACATTAAGAGCAAAGTATGTTTTTTCCTTCTCCTGTAAATCTCATTTTGGAGATACAAGGTTTTCTTCAGACAACAGCGCTACACAACATATTCTTCTTCAATCTGAAGATCGATTTCATCATGCAAAGAACCATTTAAGCATACAAATGGTTCTTTGAGTGTTCATGGCTCTATACAGAATCCCTGTCTTAACTAAAGAACCTCTGAAGAACCTTCTCTAATAGTGTAGCTAACGGGAGAACAAAATTCAAGACAAGTGGGTAAAACAAATAAAAAAAATAAACAAATCTATGTGTCATAAAGGGCATACTGTACAGTGATTGTTGTTGTTTACAGGCTGTCTGTAACGTAACGGCTTGTTAGTATTCCTCGTGCCAGGCCGTGTTCTGCTGCACAGCTGCAGAGAAGACCAGCTCTTCTCAAACACGACCTTCTCTTCTGAAGAATACAGGGTCTGTATAGGTTTGCACTGGACTGCTGTGGCTGTTTTGGCTGAGGTCACTTTCACCAGAGTTAAAATGAAGTAGTTTTAATTGAGGCACATCACTTTAGTAGCATCTAAAGGCATGTGTGGTGGGGATGCATAAAATCAGAATCAGCCGATTTTCACTCTAAACGTGCAATCAGTCAATTTATTATTTTAATTTTTAAAATGTCAAAGCATAATTTTACACGACTCATTGTGCTAAACAGCCACTCGCCTCCTATTTTGATGTAGCACTCATGTTATTTAAAAAAGGCAACTAATTTTTCATTTAAGAGTGTAAAATGCCAGTTAGGCCCAATAAAGAGTAAATAATGTTATTTCTATTGAGATTTTGGCAAATAAAAACGTGAGCTAATGTGTTTCATGTGTTTATTTAGCCCACACAGTGTGAGCTCCGGGTTAAAAAGCACTAAAACAATTTGGCCTTTGGCTCTAAAGGAATAAGAGTCAACCATAAAAAATTCATTATCAGTGCATCGTTAATGCACAGTCTAAACACTGTACAGGAAGATACACAGAGCCAACAACATGACTTATTCAAAACTACAGCTTAAAAAAGCAGAAATATCACTGACAGTCTGAAAGTGTTACATCGAAAATAAAGGAACTTTAATTCTAGTACTGTGGGGAACCGTAACTATTAGGGCCATAAACCTGAGCCAAAAAGAGTCAAAAATCTTGAAAATACTCGATGCCCACTTAATGAGCTGTGAAAACCTGTCCAGTGATGTCAACAGCAGAATAAAACAACTGCACTAATATAACATAAAAGACTTTTTAGCAATGCAGATATGAGTATAACCATGTAATCACAAGGCAATATTTAGAGTAGAAAGGTTTTAATTCTATTCATAACTTTTATTCTGATTACAGCTGCTACAGTATGGCTAATTTTCCAGCTATGGGGTTTGTAACGTTACGTTAGCACCAAGCTAGTGGTAACAGGCGCTACTGACACAAAAAGTATTATCATAGTTAGAGGCGGTTTAATTTTTTTCCCAAATCTTTTTATTGCATTTTGTACAATCACAAACATATTACATTGTTCAAGTGAGACAACAAAAGGTGTGCTTCTGCATCAACCCCTTACCCTTCGACCTTAACCCACCCACCCCCTTAGAACCCATACGTCCCACTAAAGCTGCTCCTGGGGATGTGAAAGAGATAAACAGAATATCTACCAGAATATGAGTGGTCTAAATCAATATGTAAATAATAAGAAATGTGAATAATAAACTACAATATGTACAAATGTATAAATAAAATTAGGGGGGGGGGTAAATGAATAAAAATAAATAGATAAAAAAAAACTCTCGATTCACATATTTAGGCATCGCCATCTTCTTCGAGTGAAACAGAGTTGTTGACAAAATTAAGCAGAGGATCCCAGGTCCTGTGAAAGGATCTCACGGAGCCCTTCAGGGAAAATCTTAACTTTTCGAGCTTGATGCATAATAGAACTTCGCAGATCCAGCTATCATGCGGTGGGAGGCGGTTTAATTTAACAACAATATGAACTTGATACAAAAAAAAAATGCATAGGGGAAAAAAAAAACAGAAAAATTGCTCAGCCTTAATGAACAGGCTAATTTGGAGGTCTAAATGAATATGTAAGGAGTATAAAGTTGCGTTTGAGTTGTGTTTGAGTAAAAGTAATGGTACAAACATTTAATTTCAACAATACTTTAGTAAAGTACAAATCTCCTACAATTAATACTGATGTGCTTAAGGATAATTACGTGAAGCTGCGCTATGTAAGTCTTGGGGATTTGGAGACCTCTCTGGTGGAAATGTGTAATTGCACACAACATGTGGAGGATTTTTTTTTTTTTTTAACATGGCCTGTGCTTCGGACCCCTACCCCAAGGGGATGAATTTGAGGACTGCAAACGTGTTGAAAGAGTATTCAAAGAGAGCTCAATCAAATCTTGGTGAAGGTCTGCTTTAAGTATTTTCACCCTGGTATCTAACAGGTAGAACACAACAATTAATATCATGCAAACTGCACCACAGAAGCAGATCTATCTGAGTTAATTGTGGAAGTCTGTGATGATTTAGGCAGTTAGCACCATGCTAATCGGTGGGGTATAGGTTTCCATTGCTTGTTAGCTACATTAGCGTCGTAGCTACAGAGCTAAAACTAAACTTCAGACACCAAACATTTGTTGGCTGATTTACTATAATTGGGATAAGCGTGGAAAAGTGTATACATGTTTAATAATAATGTTTACTGAACGATTCCTATAAAGGAGAACCAGCTCGTTTACAAATATGTACCAATTCAGCCAACAGCAGTTTAGCTCCGCCCACTTACACTGAAGTTATAAGGAGTGTTTCAGGCTGGACTGCTTTCTGACTTTTTAAACAACATGCCATACAAGACAGTCAATCAGAACAGAGCTCACTTACATATATATGGTTCTTCAGATGGATGGAGAATGTGTCCTATAAAGCACCAAAAAAGGGTTCTGCTGGTATGGCTGTGATGTCAAGCTTGTATTAATAGCAGAACTTTTTTTGGTGCGATATAGAACCATTTTCAAAAATATTATATATAGAACCGTACACAAAACATTCTCCATAAATCTGAAGAACCATTTCACCATGCAAATGTGTTCTATATAGCAGAATCCATTTTGGTGCTATCTAGAACCATTTTCAGAAAGATTCTATATAGAACGATATACGAAACATTCTCCATCAATCTGAAGAACCATTTCAGCAGAACCCAAAAAACGGTTCTGCTTATATTTCTGCGATCTCAAGCTTGTAACATTAACAGAACCCCTTTTGGTGCGATATAGAACCATTTTCAAAAATATACTATATAGAACCGTATACGAAACATTCTCCATCAATCTGAAGAACGATTTCACCATGCAAAGAACCATTTTAGCATGAAACGGTGTTTATGGTTCTATATAGGACCATTGTCTTTACTAAAGAACCTTTGAAGAACCATCTTTTTAAGAGTATATGTTACATAAAACCACACAAATATCACAGATAAATCACAGTAAGAATGTAGGGTATGGGCCCTTTAACAGTCAGGGTTCCCAGGGTTATCCACGCCCTCCCCCCCTTAAATCTCACCTTCTGAGGAGGCGTGCCCACCGCCATCTCCACGTAGTAGCCCTGGCCGGACTTGCCGCGCAGGTTGTCGATCATGTCCACGAAGGTCACTCTCCTGGCGGCCCTGCGCCTCCTCGGCGCCCCCTGCTGGCTGGGCCGGCGGGCAGGATGCAAGAGGGCAACACGGAGCCCTCCGGCCCCACTGCCGGGCACTGAGGCGGCCAGCACGGCCAGCACGGTCCAGCAAAGCAGGAGCAAAGTATTAGCAGCTGTTTCCATCTTTTCTTTAAGCACTCGAGGGTTTCCTTCAGGTCCTGGACGCCCAGCTTCTCCTCATTCAGCGCTCATTGCAATGAAATCCCACGGTTTAAATGAATCATCGTAAATATTCTAAACATTCCTGTTGACATTCAGTGGTCATTGGAGTGGTCATCCGTGTTTTCCTCTCTTTCTCTTTATGGCGATTATATTTAGTAACAGCTCACGCTCAAAGGTGGATAAAATTGCTTCATCCTTTTGGAGACGAACTGCCAAAAAACTGGAACTAATAATTTTTTTTAAAGAAATAATCCAGATTTTACCAACGAATCCTGCTATCAATAAAGCCAGGCGCTGAGGAGCAGCTCCGAACCCGTCTAGTCCGGTTTTCCTCCAATCTCTCTCTCTCTCTTGATCGAAGCCAGCCTTCGGTTTGCTCTGTTTATTCCCGTTTATCGCTCCTTTTCTCCCGTACGGCCATAATCCGCATCTCTCCTCTCCCTAAACACCTCCTGCCTCCTCCATCTTTCCCCCCGCAGCAGCCCAGCAAAGCCACTCTTCTGAACCGGATCCTTTGTTATGAATCGATCGAACCGATTCGCGAGTCTTTTCAAACGGCTACACAACACGTGTTGAAGAAGTTAACAAAGATTATGACACTTTAGCTCAATAAAATCACATTTACAACGTTACATATTTTTTGTATGTAATTAATTATGTTGATTAATTTGAGAACTTTCTTGCACTTAAACTGCTGGATTAATGTGCTTAGTTTTGTATTCTATGTTTAGGCGACATAATCGTCGTTCTTCAGTATTCAATTTGATTTAAATAAAAAAAACAATTAAAAAAAAACTCTCCGCCAAGCCCCGCCTTCTTCTATTAGCCCTCCAATCACAGCACTGCAACCTTTGCTATCCGCCATTTCGAGCTAAGTCCGTTATCAGCGCCCGTGTTTGAATCTGAGGCTCCATCTTCGGTTGAAACATGTAACCTAGCTTAACGGTAGTTTTTGTCGATGTTTACCGTCCACATCGTCGGTTTTTTGTGAATGTGGTACTTACAGCGCTCTTTTACTACAAGAGCTGAAATACACTTTGTGAAAATGTCAAAGCTAAAAAATGAATAAACAGTTGATATGATAGAGGCTTAAGTCAGCTTCTTGTTCGAAGGTTTCCGTTCCACCTTAAATAGTGCAGCAGGTGCATTTTGGCGCCATTTAAGGTGGAACAGGAAGGTTCGAATAGGATTCCACGATGATAAACTATATTTCTCTTGCTTCTTTTTTTCGTCTTCCACCTTAAATGGCGCCAGAATGCAACTGCTGCAGTATGTAAGGTCGAACGGGAAAATTCAGATTTCAGCCTCGTAGGTGGACATTGGTTGTTTTGTTGATGTTGATAGAGTTCTGAGGAATTGTGCTAACTTAGCTAACCTACCATAGCGCAGATTATTAGGGGTGAAATAGTAATATAAAGCTGAGTCAGTACTGAATTAACATTTAAAACACAGTAAAACATTTGACAGATGAAGTTAATACGCTAACGTTATAACTTACTTGGCTAGCTAGTGTTATGCGCATGCTCAGTTGGACCGCTCGGTGAGACTCAGCACATAAGAGCTCAGGCTGAAGTTCATCTTGACTGCAAAGTTCAGACCTTGACCTACTACGGCTTTCAGTGGTTCGGTTCTTTGTTTATGTTTGATGAGGCTAAAACCGGCCGATTTGCCAGCTTCTTATTCAAATTTTCCGTTCCACCTTAAATGGTGCAGCAGTCGCAAGCGCCAGAATGTCACCGCGGCACCATTTAAGGTGGAACGGGAAATTCGAAAAAGAAGCTGGCAGATAAGAAGCAAACTTAAGCTTCATTTACGTTTGTGTAAGTAATAAAAAGATCATTAATGACTGGAATTTCACACTAAACCACTCTGAATGACTGTTCACACATACAGTTTATCAATTTTAAAAATGTTCCTCAATGACGATGTTTTGTTCTGTTTACACTTTCTAATCAGACTTAATGAAGCTTTTTTCATTCTTGCAAACAAATTAATACGATTGAGGACTATACAGGCTGTTTACTTAGCAATGTGAGCGAAGATGACTCGTTGAATCGGACGTCGACTCACTGGAACGCACAAATCCAAAGAATCGGTTCGCTAAACTGAATCGAACTGCCTTTCGATACTCCGCATCCGTCCGCGCTCAGCGCATCTCTAGGCAAAAATAAGGCGAGGCATTCCGAGGCATTCTGGGACATGTAGTTTCAAATGCGCGTGGGCAACACGTAAGCACACCAAAGCAAGTCTCCTTGTGCTAATTCATGAACTTTAAATCAGGCTAATGTTAGTTTCTTTAATATTTTTCATTCATTCAGAGTGGTTTGGTGTGAAATGGTTGATTGTAGAGACTCAGATTTCTTTACAGTGGTGGAACCAGAGGTCGCCATGGAATGTTTATGATGGTAAAATAGTGGAAAATCTGAGATAATAAGTATTTGTTGGGGGCTATTTTGCTTCACAGCACCCTGAATGTACCTCTCCACCATGAATGGATTAAAATAAATGGATTAAAATACATTTTAAGCCAGGCCTTCATCGCAAGAGTGTCATAAAACAATGTCTCGGACATCAGGCAACGAATTCATAACCATTTCATCAAATAACTTTCTGTGAGGGTGCTTTTAGAGGTGGACACCTGGTTCCTATCACCACCACTTTGAACAATTATGACTCTGTAAGTTTCTCTAGGACAGAGCGTTTCACACCAAACCGCTCTGAATGACTCTGTTTACATCTTAACCATTTAATTGTGTAGAATTTTTGTAGAATAAGTAGAAAAAATCAGTGGGGTTCCACTTAAACACAGAGCTCATAGACTTAGAAGAAAAACAGCAGCTGGCTGTAAATCTGTTTATTATTAATGTGAGGGATACATGCAGCGTGACAGACAAATAAGCTAAGACAGATAGTTATACTGATTCCCAAAGGGAATTCTGAGCTTTTAAACTGACAAAGGAACAGCAATGGCCTTTTACGTAAACATTAAAACTTAGCTTTAGAGAAATAGTTCGACAAAAAAAATGTAATTTACCCAATTTCCCCCACTTAACCCAGACATCAGTCAGCCAAGACATGTTTGGTATCCAAATTTAGCTTGTTTGGTTTAGCGCTGGAGCTACGAGGCTAATTTTGCTAACAAATGCTTTGTAAATACATCCACAAAACTTCTCTCAGTCACATCAAACTGCAACCAGCTCTTCATTAAGGTGGCGCAGACTTGTTGACATCGTTTAGGATACAGTATGATTTATAAAAATAAATGTAAAGTAGCAGAATTTGGACATAAAACATGTCTTGGCTGTGGAAAACTGTAAATTTGTTTTTTTTTTTTTTGCCGCAGCATTCCTTTAAGGACAGCCGTACTAATTTACATTTGTTTCTCAACAGAGTTGGTCTCTTAGGACTGTCTTACTGGCAGGGGAAGTGGAGGAAAACTGGAGTTGAGTGGACATGAGCATCTCTCCCCCTCTTTTTGCTCTCAGTGGTACTGGCTGCTCCCCCAGTGAACAAGAGGGTTGGCTCATTGTGTGCTAAATAGGGGTGAACACCATGATGAGTTGAAAGCTCTGTGGAAGGAAAAGAGTCAAGAATGAAATCTCCTGAAGTGAATCACAGCTGGTGAGTTTGTTGTAGATGGCAGGTGTGTTTGAGATGGCATTCTAATAAGCGCTCTATTTGAGGAGCTGATTTTTTTTCACCAAATAAGATGTTTTTGTTTTTGTTTTTTTTTGATATGGTGAAAGGAAACAGTGCACGTTTTACTTAGCTGGACTACAGTGAGCATCTGCGGGCTAATGTGCTGCTGTTAATCAAGCATTAACCTACTTGGATAAACCAGATTACATCATTTATAGACCAAGTGAGCAGAGATTTTTAGTGACTACAGCTATATTACATCCAACCTGCTTTAAAGGACCCACATCATTGAAAAAACTAATTTTATCACTTGTAAATAAGTAATAAAGCAGTTAGTTGTAGAATGTAAACGTTGGTTTCAAAATGTACAAGTCACCCCTCAGTCCACTCAACCCACAAATGAAAACTAAACTGCAAAACAGCACATTTTTAATTAATGTGTTTTTCATATATCTGCCTGTTCAGCCTAAAGAATTTTAAAGCACTTCCACTGAAGTTATAAGGAGTGTTTCGGCCCATGATATAAATTATCATTGTTTTTAATAAATTAAGGTTCACGTTATTTGTTGTGTTTTTCTTTTTTGTATTTTTTTGGATTGGGGACCAAGAAGACCAGCATATCCACTTTTTATTGCTTGAGGTTCAAACGCTGAATATAAGACTGGAGTGAGTTGTGGTACCTATGTAGGACATAGGTGTTTTCTTGCTTCTGATTAACTCATCTACAGTCACGGACTCTTTTTATTAGGTTAAATTGTGCCGCTTAAAACTTAAGATGAGTGCATTTACATGCACTTAATAATCTGATCATAATCAGATTTCTGCAGTTATCTGATTATTCAGGTGGTCGTTTAAACAGCACACTCTGATTGCTTAGATCAGATTAAAGCTCTTAAGGCTATTTCTAGAAATCTGATAAAGAAGCTGGATTTTAGCTCAGTAATCAGGTTTTTCAGTGCAGTCTGATTTTCTGCAGTTATCCGATTATTAAGTGTAAACGCACTGAACCAGTTACTGACACAATCTGATTTTTTGCGGTTATCGGATTATTAAGTGTAAACACACCGAAGCAGTTACTTACACAATCTGATTTTCTGCAGTTATCAGATTATTACGTGTAAACATACTGAACCAGTTGCTGACACAATCTGATTTCCTGCAGTTATCAGATTATTACGTGAAAACACACTGAACCAGTTACTGACACAATCTGATATCCTGCAGTTATCGGATTATTACGTGTAAACACACCGAACCAGTTACTGACACAGTCTGATTTTCTGCAGTTATCAGATTATTAACTGTAAACTCACCGAACCAGTTACTGACACAATCTGATTTTCTGCAGTTATCAGAGTATTAAGTGCATGTAAACACACTCATTGTTGTTGATGGCATAGGCTGTAATTTAAACTGCAGATCCTGGGATTTGAAAACTGCTTGATTAAGGGATATCAGTTATTTTTAATTTAAGTTTTTCAGCTCTAATTTACATATATCTGTCTTAATGGCACAGTAACAAAAACAGCATGTGCAGGTTCACTGGTGGTTTTGGATAATAAATAAAATGTCTATATTTGTGTTGTAGTCATGGCGACCCCTGGTTCCTATCACCCCCACTGTAAAGAAATCTGAACCATTTCACACCAAACCACTCTGAATCACTCTGTTTACATCTCACACACTGAATTATGCAGAAAATTTGAAAAAATGTAATAATAATATTTCAATAACAGAATAATAATTTTGTGGTTTAAGAGGTTAAAGTTAGTAAGTTTTAGTGTTTTAAAGGTGGCAAAGGTGAGCACAGAAATGGACCTGACTCACTGTTCAGATGCTGTTTATCTGTTGTCC